GTCTGTAGTGGGGGAGAGTTACAATACAGGCAGAGATATCGAAAATAAACAAGTCAATACGTAAATAATAAGAAAATATTTTGTAATGATAGATGTTAAAACAGAGTGATGTGACACCGAGCCAACTGAAGGCCACTTTTGATTGGGTGTCAAGAGTATTTATGTTCTACAATATGAGGCACACACAGCTGAAAAGCAGCAAAGCAGACATAAGCCAAGACAGAAAGCTAATGTTACACTGAAGGGCCATTATTTTAGTCCATCAACTTCAATAAAGATCAGAGTTTAATTTGTTTTATAGCTCAATTTTTACTCATCACCTACAGAACTGGATTTACCATAGCGAGGCTAGTGATGGTGTTCAGCCCCTTATCCTCCAGAGGTGGTAAAATATAAAGAAAGACTGAGCATACCTCCCAACAGCAAACTGAGCTGGTGGCCCCCTCTTGGCCTGCTTCAGTTGCCATGGAATTTCTCAGGATGAAGTCACTACCGAAGTTTGCAACTCCATGCAAGACAGCAGCAGAGATCCAGCCTGTGCAGTCTAACAGGGGACCCCATTTGTCCCTTGTGAATTAGTCACTGGGGGCCCATAATCCATCTCAGGCAATCAACAGGTTCTCGCATTACCACAGGGCCCCTCTTTAGAAAAGAAGGCTATTACAAGGTCTGCAGATCAGCTTACACAGTTGCCAATCCTGGCAATAATTTATTCCTACAACACTATGATGCATGCTTTGTCTCTCACTTAGCCTGACAATGAACTCAGGAGCACATGGAACAAAGAGTTTGGCCCTTGAACCAGCATAGTTAGCCTGGGACCACAGGACAGCCCCTGGGCCTACACTTCTTCATCATAAATTTTTAGAGCTAGCCCATGCCTATTTTCTATGCTGATGATATATAAATATTCAAAAAAAAGAACTTGTTTGTGGAGACCACATAATAATCTATTTTGGCCAAGCAGCCATCTGTCAGAGGGGTCTGTGGATACCATATGGAAGAACACAGGGCAGAAAGAAGCGAATGATTTCTTGAGCAGGCTAGGTACTAAAACAGGTTCTTGGGACAGAACAGAACATAGTTCCTGCCCTCAAACTCTCTAGAAAACAGGATGATTTAAGTTGTAAGGAATTATGATGAGTGTTATGACAGAAAAGAGATTTTGGAAGCACAAAATAGGAATGAGGGGATAAAGAAACCCTTCCATAGAAAACAGTGTTCAAGCAGAGATCTGTGAGATGGTGACATGGTGATAGCACAGCCAGAGGCCACTGTGGAAATGAAGAACAGGCGGAATACTGGGCCCCGGCCTGCTGCTTATTAAAAGCATGACTTATGTGTTCTCCCAAGACAGCTAGGGACCTAAAAAGCCATTTTTGCTGTGACCCATGTCTCTTACAGGTGACTAAAGGAACAAAGTTTGACCTTCATTTTGTGTCCTTTCTTATTATAAATCTTAGGTCAAATCACTTCTTAGCTTTCCATATGAACATGCTAGTCCTTTGCGGAGCATCTAAAATTTGGCAAAACACAGTTGGTTAGCCTTGAATTTGCATATTCTCACCTCCATTCAAGATGGGGATGGGGGATTTCCCGGTACATTCAGCTATACCTAGAAGCCTGCTGCCATTGCCCCAAACCTGTAGTCATCTGGATTGCAGGAAGGGCAGAGGTCCACACACCCAGACCATCACAAACAGAAACAGTCCTGTCCCGGAAATAAAAGCTTTCCTCAGCCATAAAGATTCCACAACTATGACAACAGGACTGAAATCATGATCAACTTGATTCAGCCCACCAGCTAACCCTTAAAAGCTGGCTTCCTGCCTTTGTGGGTAAAACAGTCTGAACCCATGTGGCAGAGTGTGTCCCCTCCCCCAGCTACCTAAGCAGGAGTCTTTTACTATCTTCCTCTCTCCTTCCAATGAGAGCTTTCCTGTAAATATGTGCTTGAGTTTCAATTTCCATTATTATCAAAAGCAAGGACCCGTGCTAACTGGCAACAGAGGTTAAGCGGCAGGCAGGGCCCAAGGAAATGAAAGGGGATATGCAAAGATCTAGGCACACAAAGGAACATAGTGCTTTAGAAAGATGAGGACAGTTCCTTTTCTTTGGGTTAGAGCATGAGGAGGGGAAGAGTAAAGGTCCCCATTGCCTTTTTGGGGGGCCTTGTAGGACTCTGTTTGGTGACAGTGTCACCAGATGAAGAGCCCCCCGTAGGGCATCTTTCCAAGTTCTTGAGGTCCCAAACAATGAAACAAAACACACAGCAAAGGCAGTGAAAGTGTACATTTACTGAAGGTGGAAAAGAGTACAATCTGCAGGTTGAGAGTGGGTTGGTGAAAAGGCTCACAGCAGCCCGGAGAATAAGAGAAACCATCTTGCTCTCATGCAAATAAGGCATCAGGACATTCGTCCTATCCAACATTCACTTGGACTTACAGCACCTGTAAACTGTCCTATGGGAAAGCTCCCTTGGCTCCCTGCCATATGTAAATAAAGGATCAGGAATAGCATCTTTCGATTGGTTGTGCCCATATGCAAATAAGAGATTAAAAAGAGCATCTTTGGATTTGTCCTGCAAACAGACTAGATTCAAATGAAGAACTGAAAATAGCACTTTGCTAAATAGGTTCTGTGTACAGTGAGGATGGCATCACTGTATTGAGTGTCCCTCTTCCTGGAAGTGTTCCTTGCCTTGTCCTGTCATAACAGTAGCTTCTAAAGTTGTCTCAGAGAAAGTCTTACACTATGTTTCACAACAGTTTTTTCACTTCTTTGCAAGCAGACACAGAAGCAGGCATTTACCTGTCTAAATTTGATGCAGTCCCAGTCCTCTGTCCACGAGATACTCCAAGAGGACTAGTCGGGAACGTTCTCCAGAGGTGATACTCTCATAGGAGGACTAGCGAGCCCTTTGGCTTGGATCAGGAGGGGAGGACTCCTCTGAGTTGGCCTCTAAACATACATTCTTACAGGGATTGTTACTGGGCTGTCTAGATTTTAACACCCTGTTCCTAGAGAAGCAAGAAAGCTCTGTTGGTACCAATCCACAAATTTTAGGCAGCAATTCAGAAAAAAAAAAAAAAAAGAAGCATCAGTTACAGGTATTATGTTAGCTATCAAGTTCTCTGGTCCTGATTGCAGACAGAGATGATGGAAGCCTGCAGATGCTGCCTCTGGAGTATCACTCTGTGATTAGTTTTTGAAATGTCAGATCATCACTGGGGAGCAGCTAGACATCATCAGGGCAAACAACTCCCACAAGGGCAGCAATTCATGTACTGCTTGTGCAGATGGTCGTCTTGAAGTAAAACTACAAGCATCCAACATAACCATTAAATGTGTACCTCTTTTTTCTCCATTCTTTCTGAAAATGCCTGGGCAAAAACAGAGGACAACATCAGCATTTCTATCTTCATTTTTTGCACTAAAATAAAGATCAAAAATCATTTGAAAAGTACTTAAAGAAACAGGACTCTCTGAAGATTCACTTCAAACAAAGTTAGAGATGATGGAACGTTGGTGAATTGTTGGTAGGAATGTAAGATCATGTAGCTGCTATAGAGTGGGCTTCAGGCTGTTTTACAACTCTAAATTATAGAAAGCCTGTATTATTGCAAATGTGTTCTGTCCGTGGAAATATAAATGAGGTTGCCCCAGTGGAATATAATTATTTCCCAATGGACACGGTCTAGCTTGGCATTGGTTTGTAAATTCACTTTAACACAGCAGTTTGTGTATTTTTATCATTCTCCTTTGAACTGATTAACTTCACACTGTTTGCCTGATTAAAAAAATGAGTGGCTCCACAAAAAATTAAAACAGAATTACCATATGATCCAGCAATTTCCCTCCTGGGCATATACGCAAAAGAATTTAAAGCAGGATGGAAAATTTAAAAAAAAAAAGTTAAATAATAATTTTTAAAGTGAAAACCACGACTGCCAAATAGAAAATGCATACTTACCAAATATTTCAACTCATTTTTTAATAAGGAGAAGTGTGTTAATCAGTTCAAAGGAGAACGCAAAGAATACATATGTAGGCAAACTGGAGTGTTAAATTGATAAACCAGCGTCAAAGCAGAACACATCCATTGGGAAATAATCAATTATATTACACTGGGCAGACCTCAGCTGTATTGCCAGGGGCAAAACTCTCTTGCAGCAGTACAGGCTTTCTACAATTCAGAGTGGTAACAGCCGGAAACCCACTCAGGACCCTGCAGACTTAGATAAATCTGCAGTGTGTGAGAAACAGGACACTCAGTAACATTCCCCAGCCCTCACGTTTTTTCCACTTCAAAGTCCTTCACAGATTGGAAAAACAAAATCTTTTGTAAGTAACTCCTCAGCCCAGAAGTACACTCCCTGTGATTCCTTTGAGCTAAGCTTAAGTCTGGAGTTTGGAGCCCTTATTCAGCAAATCAAAGTTTAGTGAACAATTTAAGCAAGTGCAGCACTTGGGGACCCGCTTCTCTACCTGGGAGCCCCAGGTTCGCACCAATCCGCGCATCTCGCCACGGGGTGCAAAGCCAGAAGCCTTCCAGAGGATTCGGACACCGGCTGTGCGGGAGGGAGACGCTGCCTCGCACGCCCCACGGGCCGGGCCGGAAAACTTCCCGAACCGAGGTCTGTGAAGGACCCGAAACTGAACAGCGCGGAGGTGCGGGGCGGACCGTGGCACCGCCTCTTTCCTTCCTGGCCAACGGCCCTCGGGCCCACTGGACATCGCCGCGGGCCAGGGCAGGGGCGACCTCTGCTGGGTCCCCGACTGTCCCGCCACGCGGGCCGAGCGCCCCGGGGGACCCCGTCCGAGCTGGCGGTGGCCCCGCCCAGGCGGGCTGGGCTTGGCCTGGACCCCGCCGGCCGCGGTTTCGGTTAGACCCGCCCTCGAGCTGGTTTCGATTAGGGACGGGAGGGCGGGGCGGCCGACGCGAGGAGCGCGCAGAGGCGAGCGGCCGGGCCGCAGAGCGGGAGGTGCAGCAGGGGCGCAGCGCGTCCCAGCCTGGCCGCGGGAGCCGGGCGCGCGGGGCAGGCGCGGGCCGCGCGGCAGCGCCGGGATGCGGACGCCCGTGGTGATGACGCTGGGCATGGTGCTCACGCCCTGCGGGCTGCTGCTCAACCTGGTCAGCACGCTGGCCCCGGGCTGGCGGCTGGCCTCGGGCTTCCTGGACAAGCCGGTGGACGCCGTCCTGTACCAGGGCCTGTGGGACATGTGCCTGGAGCAGAGCAGCCGCGAGCGCCAGTGCGGCCAGCAGGACGTGTGGGGCTACTTCGAGGCCCAGCCCGTGCGGGCGGCCCGCGGCCTTATGGTCACGTCGCTGGCCACCGCGGGCCTGGGGCTGCTGCTGGCGACCCTGGGCGTGCGCTGCTGGCAGGACGAGCCGCACTTCGCGCTGGCCGGCCTCTCCGGCGTCGTGCTCTTCGTCGCGGGCCTCTTCAGCCTCATCCCGGTCTCCTGGTACAACCACTTCTTGGGGGACCGCGAGGTCCTGCCCGGCCCGGCCAGCCCGGTCACGATGCAAGTTAGCTACAGTCTGGTGCTGGGCTACCTGGGCAGCTGCTTGCTGCTGCTGGGCGGCGTTTCTCTGGCGCTCAGCTTCGCGCCCTGGTTCGAGGAGCGGTGTCAGGGCTGCCGCAAGGCGCCCCCCGCCGGCCCGCGCCGCAGCAGCATCAGCACCGTCTACGTGGACTGGCCGGAGCCCGCGCTGACCCCGGCCATCAAGTACTACAGCGAGGGCCAGCACCGGCCAGCACCGGCCGCCGACCGCGGGGAGGCCGCCAAGCCCAGGGTCGGCTTCCCCATGCCGCGGCCGCCGCCCAGGGCCTATACCAACCCGGTGGACGTGCTCGCCGGGGAGCGGGAGCAGGTGGCCGCCTCCCAGAGCACCTCTTCACCCAGCACCCGGCCCTGCCACAACTCGCTGCCCTGCGACTCAGACCTGTAGACGCCCGGCCCACCCCTGCTAGCTCCCCGCAGGCTCTGAGTTCAGCCTGGGTCTGAGGATGATCAGCTGCCCTCCCTGCCCTGTCCAACCTTGAACGAGTACGCTGCGATGCAGGCTGCAGTTGCCTGGCTCTGAGTTGGAAGACCGCAGGGCGATCTTCTTTCCCAGTGGCCGGACTCTGGACGGTTAGTTGCGCTTGGGTTCGGTTTTCTATATACAGAGCTCTGTTTTCTTCTCCAGAGGGATCGGGTGCTCTTACAGAATAACCAGTGTTTCCTATTTTCTTGCTGAAGGAGATCTAGAAAGAGCAGTGTGTGCATCTTGTTGGCCAGGGACAATAACAACGGAAAGTTGAAATCAGCAAATAGAGGCTCAAAGGCGATTCAACGCCTTGAAACTACAGTGTTGTCAAATATCGATGAAACGCGTCAATGTTCTTATTGTATTTTTCCTGTTTTATTGCTCCTTTGTCATGCAAACTCTCAAAAGGCCAGTGTATTTCTGTCTCAGGAGGCTGCTAAACTGGGAGCCCTGCAAATGCCACCAGCGGTATTGGTGCTCACAAAATGCAGTAACCTGAAGTTCTTGGTGTGACACTTCTTCAGGCATAAGTGGGATTTATCTTTCTTATCACTTATTTTGGTGTGAAAGTTGAGGTCGTTCAAGAGTTTCTCTTCCAATAACCAGGAAAATGAAGACATTAACGTTTTATTGTGCTATTCCTTGGATTCCTTGCCCTGGACACAAAGGACTACAGATTTACTATTTATACAAAATAGAACCTCTTAGTGACATTTGGTTAAAGTACATATGTATATCTTTTATTTATAAATAAAAAATGTAGAACAATTAGTCTCGGTATACTCACAAAGGTGGTTTTGTCTCCAGCACAAACTTCCAGAGTTTTAGTATTCATTACTAACAATTTTCTATTTGCCTGCGCCCTGTTTGTGAAATTTAGCACTCAGATCTTTGTAAGCCTTCGCATTAGGTTACGAATCAGATTAAGAAAACCAGCCAGCAGGCCCCACTTGAACCCCAGATTGCTTTGTTTTTGGAATCGTGCTGGGTTCTCTGCAAAGCCAAGTCTATTGAAAAAAACTAGAAGCACCAGTTTTCACTTGAGATGAGAGTAGAAATCCTTTCCTCTTCCTGCAGGGGTGCTTGAAGTCTCTTCCAATAACCAGGAAAATGAAGACATTAACGTTTTATTGTGCTAAACGTTTTATTGAGCTAAATCCCCAGCCCATTCACCTGGATTTGTCCCTGGAGCAGAGGGACAAGCCCCACCAGGAGGGCTGGCTTTCGCTCCAAGTGGTTGATTTAAAGGTGCCTTTAACTGAACTGAATCTCAGCTTTAAAACCTGCCCTTGAGAGCCAGGCATGGTGGAGACACTTGTAATCCCAGCACTCGGAAGGCTGAACCAGGAGGATCACTGAGTTTGAGGCCAGCCTGGGCTACAAAGTGAGCTCAAGGCCAACCTGAACTGCATAGTGAAACTCTGTCTCAAACAGACAAGGCAACAACAAACAAACCTGCCCTCGGGAAGTGGAAACCCTGAGTGCAGTTAGCACTGCTAAGAGAAAGCTACAGTGGAGCTAAGTAAACAGCACAGGCACCAACAAGGTGATATACATCTGTACCCTTGCCTCTTTGCAGTAGAATCACCTGGATTTTGATTTGCTTTTTTTTTTTCTTTTTTTTCTTTTTTTTTCTTTTTTTTTTTTTTTTTTTTTTTCTGGTACCGGGAATTGAATTCACGACCTTGTGCTTGCCAGGCAGGCGCTGTGCTGCTGAGCTAAATCCCCAGCCCGTTCACCTGGATTTTGAGACCCAGCTGTATTGTGCAGGTATGCCACTTCGTGGTATTTTCACATGCAGATTCTGAGGCGGTAGGTCTAGAGCAGTGATGGCAAACCTTTCAGTGCTTTCGCTGAACAAACAGCCAGCTACAGCACGGGTGCCATAGGTTCGCCACCACTGGTTCCTGAAACTGGTTTTCATAAATGGCTCCCTGGAGATACCGCCAATGCCTCTGCCAATGCCCAGGGCTTGTGGACCACACTCAGAGTTGCAAAGCTTTCGCAGGGACTCTGTCTCCCTTCACCTGCAACCCACTGCCAGTGCAGCTCCTCATCAGGTTTTTCATTACTGGCCACTTGATCAAGAGTTTGGTTTGTTACTGTGGGAAACAGCCAGAATGGATGGAAGGCAGCTCTGATCTTTTCAGCTAACACTTCCAAAGGCAGCGATTAGGGGCCTGGACAGTCAGGACTTAGCCAACAATGTAAAGATACTGGGATGCTGGCAAGTACTGAGTATGTCAAGCGTCATAGTTCCAAATATTTCCAGGAAAATCTTGGTAAAAACAAAACTGGTGCTTTGTATGTTTTACTTTTCTCCCCTCCCCAATTATTCTGCATGGGCTTATATGAAAACACTTTCAGGATTAAGATTTGCTCAGTGAAAGGTAAAAAGCCATTTTACCCTATCAATACAAATAAAATTCCTTTAAGAAATACAGACTGGTTTTTGTTCGAAAAATGTTCAGGACAGTGTGGAAGAGACTCCTGCATCAGGCTGGGATCTGTTTTGGGGCTGAAGGTCCGTCTCTACCACAGCAGCAAATACTGACAGTAGCCTTGAGACACAAGACACTGGAGGGGATGAAGTCTCAGGAGTCCTCCTGTGGGTGGGAATTAATTCTAAATGGCACTGGATAGCCAAGCCGCTGCCCCCTACAGCAAACCTGCTGTGGAGCAGTCTGGTCTGGAGCCCTTCCCACCCATGACGGCCATCACAACTCACTCTGACCAGCATGGGAAGTTTGCATCCTCCTGACTTGCATGGAATCTCTACAAGACGACCCAGTGGACCAGCACCCGAGAAAGTGGAATTGAAAATGCTTTTCCATCTCCTGCATTGCATATGGGCCATTTCCTTTCCTCCGGATGCACACTCTCTCTGTTGATCTACCGCGCAAACTGTGGGAGGTGCTGTCAGGCTGCTGTAGCAACTGCCCTGCTCCTCATTGCTTTGACTCACCAAGTAAGGGTTTGGGCACTGACATTTCACTAGCATATCTGTGGGCACCATGGAAAACAAGAACATTTTAGATCCTGCCCTGCAGTACTCCAACTTGAGAGGTTGTATGCAAATAAAAGGAATAGTAAATCAGCAGCAAGGGATGGAGAAAAAAGATCTGAGCAGACTGTAAGTCGGGGAGCGGACCATACCAAGCAGAGGGAACAGCAGTCTCCCGCACATATTTTGCCTCTAATTCATTCTACAATGTAGTGGTAAGGACAGGAAGAAGCAGGTGGTACATTTTTATAGGGCTGAGAAAATCTTGTTATCTACATTGTATTAGGCTAATTGTTTCTTTAAAAGGGAATCTGGTCAAATATAAACAATTTGATGTCTGGGTAGCTTCTTAAGAACATTCTCTTCTGCCAAGGTACAGACAACTCCATGAGGCAGTAGGCAGCTAAGACACTAGAACCTCAGTGACTCATCACAGTCTCGGGAGTGCTGGAAAATTTTCTAATCAGCCTACCTGATATCTCTAACCTGATCTGCCTGAAATAAAGTTCTGTCACTCATCTGTAAAGGGAAGATGACACCTCAGGAGCCTCCTTCATATGTCATGCACTCAGCTCAGTTTCAGTTACTTTCATGATTTGGCCAAGGTCTAGGTTTTTATCCTGGTTACTGTCCTGCCCATATCCACACCCCAAACTACCCCCAGCCCACATTAGTTTAGAGGTGTCACATTCAAATACATCATATGTGGCTTAATATTTGCTGTGCTTTTTTGTTCTACCTTCTTCTGTTTACTTCTAGTGGAAGTAAAAGTATCATTTCTATTTATTTTTAGCACTGGAATGAATACCACCACTTTTTATGCCTAGTGTTAACTTCATAAATTTACTTTTATTTTTTTCCAGTGACCCCAGGCCCTCATCCATGCGAAGCAAGTGCTCTAACTCTAAACTACACCCCAGCCTGTAAGAGCTACTTCTAAAAGCTTTTTATGTACACAAGTGCTTCCTCTCCTTGTACTCAACTCGTATAAAGAAAATGACATGTCACCAAAGGCTACGGCCAAGGGTAAAGTCACTGTAGATGAGTTCTTTTCCCCATACAGGAAGGAAGGAAAATAAGTAACTCAGTTATTACTTCATATAAAACCTTCCTTGAAATTCTTACCCAGTCTTGCCAACAACCTCCACCCATTCCTCTGTCTCCTCACTACACACATTAACATGGCCTCCTTTAGTCATCCACCACTAAGCAGGACTGAAAACTGTAAAAACAAGGCTTAACCTCTTCAAATCCAGGAAACTATAGCCAAAATTTAGAGGGCTGACGGTGCTGACTGGGGGCCTTAGCTGTTCAGCGGGCATATGGAGAGAATGACTTCAGACTGAATTTAGGTGTCACTCCAGAATTCTTGTCTGAGGGAGGCTGAAGGAGGTCACGACATTGTTCCATTGCTTGTGTGACTCATGCCCCAGGCGCAGGCCTTGCCCCTGCTGGACCTGCTTCCCCATGTGTAATGGTGGAAAGACTGACCTAGATATTACCAAAGGGCTTCACTGACAATATTCTGAGAGTGACAGGTAAGACTTAGATGGAGCTGAGAAGGAATGAACCTTGAACAGCAGAGGCTGGGGAAGCTGATGACCTGTAATGCTAGTAGCTGGTCTGAGAGCCACCAGCTCCATATTCTGTTTCTTCATATGGGAATTCCATGAGCCTCCCAGAGGTTAAAATGTAGAACTCAGTGCATCTCTCTCACCATCCATGACCTCTCCCCCATTTGTTTCCTAAAGAGAATATATATGTAATGCTCTTAATTTATTGCAAGCAACTGGCCTAAAAGGTCAAGTTTTGTGTAGGACTCTTTCGCCTAATGCGTGAACCAATGAGCATTTCCAAAGCTCTTTCTTCTTCCAAAAGAAAACCCAAACCTATTACCATGTTACAGGAATTGATTTCCTAGAAAGAAATTCAGATTTTACATCAACCACAGGCTTATTGCTCCATCTATTATGTGTAAAGAAATTAAGAAAATAATATGCAATGTAGAAATTGTCACAATGGAAAAGCTCTTTCTACAAATAGATAAGGTTGAAGTTGACACATTTAAACTAGTTTAGGGAGAAAGCATGATTAAAAATTGTTAAATATCAAGGCTTGAGCATCTATTTATAAGATTAAGTGCTGATGAATAGGTTTTCAATATGTTTCATAAACTCTGTAGTGAAGAAAGCATAATAGGGTAGATTCAACTAGATTTGGATATACTACTTAGGCTTACAGTTATAGGAAACCAGAGATAGGAAGAGGTATAAATAATTAGGGGTGGGAAGGGGAAAGGATAATGCATGAAATGTAAAGAAGTTCGGCTGCATGCAATTGGCTCCCTTTCTTTCACAAAGGAAGTAGCAAGTATTTCCGGGGCCTGAACTGGAAATGGGACCTGCAGAACAGAGACACCTGCTTAGAGTAACCTTCAGCTCAGAGCCTGTGGCAGCCACCTGAACAAGCCCAAACACAAGCCCTGGGTGGGTGGTAGAAAGAAGGCTGAAGATCTGACAAAGACCAGGACCACAACTCCACACTGTCCACAAAAAGTGGCAATACCATTATACACCATTCGTACGTCCTTTTGAACTCAGTTCTTTTGTGTAATTTTACGCATTTTGTGTACATTGGAGGGAGAGACTTGCCAAGAGCAAAACTGACCACAGGCTGGGTCTTGGGTGAGATAGCAAGAGAAACCTCATACTCTCTGCACATGAAAGGGTACAGCAGGGTATGCTGGAGCTGAGAAGATTTTGCTCACAGTTCAGCCTCTGAAGCAATCTGCTTAGTCCCTCAGTCACAGACACACAGTTCAGCCTCCTCAGGAGAGGTGGTTCCCTTCACATTTGTTCTTTCCTCGTTGTTCTTCACTTGAAATTTTTTATACTTCTTTGAAAAACACAGTTTATTTTATCTATTACCTACAGTACCAAAGCCCAGGACTCCTCATGCTTGGAAGCCTTTACAAATTCAGTCTGCAGGACAGTACATTACATGAAAAATCTAGAAACAATTCAAGCAAAAAAAATTCTACATGAAGTTGAGTTTATTATAACTTAGACTCATGTTATTAAATTCAGTATGTTCAGCAGTATACGGGCATTTTTATATTTTCATCCAATGCTCAACTGGCCTGATAATGTAGAGTCTTATAATGCCAATTTTTAGTAAATTGGACATACAGATTTAGCAACGTTATACTCAGGGTTGTTACCATGGAGTTTTAGATCATATTCCTGCTTTGATATACTGTCTCCCACCATAGAGTCAATATCTCTGATTCCTTACATTGGAGTGAATAGTATGATAACAAGACAAGCAGACAAGCATCTGCATGTTCTGAATCCAGTGGGCAAGTGCTTGGTGAGACGAATCCCCATGCACATTTATACTTTATGTGATACTCTATGGTATACACGTATTTCTTTTTTTAAAAAAAAAGCCTTAGATAAATCATGTATTTGTGCTTTTGTATCTATAAAGTACATTCTTTTGTTCTATTAATTTCAGAATGGGAACATAAGAAAAACACCTTTTATAAATTCTTAGCAAAAAGGAATACTAACTTAGTGAAATTTACCTGAGAGAGAATGGTAGGAAAGTAACACCCAAACACCTGCCATCAGCCGGAACTTGGCTTTCATCCCAAGAGGCACAGAGAGCACTGTCTTTGATAAAATGAAGAGATTCAGAGGACTAACTAACTCAAAGCTACTGTCAGAGCCAAGATTCAACTCCAGAGCTTCTGACTGGCCCAGGAATTCTGAGATTACAAGGCTTCTGTGGGTGAATTACAGCCTAAACTACATGGAAATTGAACTGAACTCTGACTGTACTTATGGGTATTCTATTTTCTAAAACCCACTAACAAAACCAGATGCTCTCCTCCAATTTAAAAAGTACTTATTTTAATAAGTAATGACAACTTACCCCAAACTGTTAAAGATTAAACAGTACACAATAAAATATATAAACAATTTTATTGGAATAGTTCAGCTTCTTGTTCATAAGGTTAGTCTGTTCGCAAAGACGTTAGCAATTCCTAAGGAAAAAGAGAGTGGAAGTTGAAGGGTATACACTACATCAAAACAAGGCAAAAATGCAGAGATCACCAAACTGTGCAGAAGTTAGCAGAGAACACAGGCAGGTCCATGTGTCAGGGGTAACCCTATTAACATCTCCCCACCCAGCATAAAGCCAAGCCCCTTGTGGAAATCCACTAAACATTAAATTTCTTGATTACTATTTCATACATGTTTAACTGTTAGTTTTTCCAACCACAATCTAAGAACTAAAAGGTTACTGAAAAATAGTTTCACATGCATAATAGCAAAATTCAACAATAATAAAAATCCATTTAAGTTAACATTGACTTTGACCCAGCTGGGATTTTTCAGAAGGGTCATTCTTTACCTATGTCTCACAATCCACTTTCTTCAGAAAGACTTCCCCTTCTTCCTCAACATACCTGTTCATCATAGGCTTCATTGACAAAAATTTCACTATTCATTAGATTTTCCTCTTCTTGGTTACGTTCTTTATCACAAGCCAACTTCCTTGATCTTCTAGAATCAAAGAAACAGAGTCAGAAGAGTTGTTCTCTTTGAGGCAGAATCTTAGTTCATGTTATGATTTAGAAATAGACAAGTTGTTCTCTATATTGTTACAGAAATTATACCCTACTTTAAGTGTCTCTTTAACAATGTAAAATGATCTCAGATGGGCAATACTTGATCAATTTATTTGTTAGTGGGTATTGACTTAACTTCCAAAATGATATCTCTTCTCCACCAGGGGAAACCACATGCTTGAAGTCAATGAAAACTAAATTCAAGGATAGATAAGTGACAGCTGAACACCAGCGAATTAAGAAAGCAGGTGAATGTAGCAGAAAGACCCAAGGTGACAGTCAGAAGCCAAAGGATACCATCTTGCTTCATTATAATGGTAACCAATCAGTCATTAATTAGTATTATCTTATAAAGAATCATGCTACTTTTTCTGGCCTTTTCTTTAGTTTGTGAAGGTAGGACAGAGATACAGCTTTAGAAGCTTTAATAATCTCTTCATTTCTTTTATTTTCTGTTTCTTTCTGTTAATGCCTTTTCTCAATATATCTGGTCTCTCCAATCATATCATTTTAGTGTATATCTTAGTTTGCCAGAAACACCATTTGCTATTCTTCCTTATTTCTTTAATGTATTTCTTGCTCTTGAATTTTAAATTATTCCTGAGTTTCTTTATTTTACCTCCACTTATAGATTAAGTTGCAAGCCCCAAATCCATATGTTGAAGAGCTAACCCCATATAATTCCAAATGTCTGTGGGTTTTTGCTGAGGTAATTAAGTAAAATAAATGGGTGAATTCTAATCCAATATAACTGATTTCTTTATAATAAAAGGAGGTTAGGACACAGAGAGAGGATATAAGGAGTCATTAGAAATCTACAAGCCAAACAAGGAAAGAATCTGATAACTTGATCTTGGATTTCTAGTTTCCCGAACCGTGAGAAAATATTTTCTGTTGTCTATGACACCCAATATCTGCTACTGTATTATGGAAGTCCTAGCCAAATAATACAACTCTGAACAAGTTTTCCTCCAATCACTGCAACTAAAGTTATTGCCTCATTGAAAGAGAACCTCCTCATTTCATTCTGACATTAGCACTGAGGGCCGTGTTACCTGCATAAATGCCTCCTACACCATAAAGATTATTTATCTCAGGTCTCACTCAAAAAGAAGGTCTCAATTAATATTTTCCAGGTAATATAACAGATAAGTCTACATCATCACCTAAATTCTTCCTCACAAGACAAATTTCTAGAGTGGATTTATATCTTCAATCCTATTAATCTTATTTTATAAGCCTTCTTTGGAATGAAGATTTTCATGAAGGCATTAATAGCCACTTACTTTTTTAATTCATGTACTCTTCTACAATAAGTAAGTGTTCCCAGAGCTACCAGAATCATTGATAAAGCCATGGTTATGCTGAGGGCTATGTAACCAGGGACAGAGCTGTGTGCCTCTTCACAGAACTCTCTGCCATGATCTGTCAGACAGCTGCATTTTCTCAGCTTTCCTTCCACTGTACAGATTTGCCTCCCATTACAGAACGCACTGCTGCATGGCCTGTGTTTCGTGGTCTGTGAGTCCTTGGGGTGAAAAGACTCTCCTCCTTCCTTGATTTCTGGGATCTTGCTCTGTCCAGCAGGCATTGCAGTTGTTAGTGTTTTTCTGACAGGATATCTCGTTTCTTCCAAAACTGGGTATCCAAGTGTGGTGGACACGGTAGTCTGGAGAGCTTGGGTAGCTTTTAACGCCAAACTCTTTCCAGCTTCTCGCCTTTTAGGTGTTGCTGTGGAGTGGGTTTTACCTGTATAGGTACACACACACACACACACACACACACACACACATCAGTTAAGAACCATATCAAAAGAACAAGAAATCTTAAAGCATTAAAATCTTCATATCATAAGGCATGTAAAATATTTGGTATTAGGACCACTGTATCCTATTTATCATACCTTTCTACTTCTAAGCAATGACATGTGAAGTTTTAGTTGAGATATATCCTATAATTTACAAAGATGTTTTTGTTCTGTAAGGATTGGTGGAGTAGATCAAAGTAAATATTTTTATTAGAAAGATTTCTCAGATATAATAGGTTTGTCTATAATTTTTTAATATTTTGATGCCAATAACCTATAGGCTCAGTGCAAACTACCAGTTACAGATATGAAACCAGACTTGATGAAAGTGGAGAAGGTATAGAGACAAGTCAAAACATAGACAGCAAGATGCTTCCAACCAAAGACAAATTTACAACTAAGTTTGGATTAAGGTATTCTACCATATGCTTATTGTTGGCACAGGTATTATTCTTCATGTGAACACTAAAAATAAAACTACCAGGTAGAAAGACAGTATTAGCAAATTAAAAGACCCTTTTGTCTCTGACTTGCACTAGTGTTATACTTCAGATCTAAAATGTCCTCCCAAAATCTTATGTGTTCATACAGGGGGTTTTTGGAAGGTCACTGGATCATGGATACTATACTTACCAGTGGATTAATGAATTGGTAAGTTCATTTGTTGCTAGGAGGTGGGGCCTGATTACAGGGGTGAGTCACTGAGGGTGAAGGTGTATTCTTGTTCCTAGTTCCTCCCTTCACTCTCTGTTCCTGGCTGCCATGAGGTGAGCAAATTCCCTCCATCATGCCCTCCTGCTTTGGAGCTGGCTGACCACATATAGACTAAATGCTCTGAAACCATGAGCCAAAATAAATTGAAAGGGAAAAACTGTACAAAAGAAACTGTTCTCTTTAAAACTTTGTTCTTCTTGAAGGTGCCTAGCTCTTTAACTGCTTCATGGCTCTGTCGTTACTTTCCTGACCCCTGTAACCATGAGAGTGTAACTAAACATGCAGGATGTCTGATTGCAACTGATAATCATTAATTAGCCTTGTAACTGATGATCTCAACCTGCTACCTAATCAGAAGAACTACCAGGCTGTTCTGTTTTGCCTTTGTACTTCCTGTTTATGCACCATATAAAAGCCCTAGATCATCAGAAACCAGGGCCTGATATTTTGGGAATGATCCCAATCAGTGCCTATCGACGTAAAACAAATCCTCAGTTTCGTTTCAGTGTTTCTGTTTACTGTAGCAAAACCTTTCCTCCTTTATGTTCAGGGTGTTGGGTATTTTGACTCAGCAACAGGAAAGTGACTAATGCAGCTGGTACCATAGGAGAGTTTCCACTCCTGGGCTGTGTAAGACCCTTGATGGCAAGGTATATCTACAAGAAGTCAACCCAAATTTTAAACCCAGTGCTTTCTCCTCTGCCTCCCAATTCACAGCAAGCTAATTACTAAGGAGCAAAGCCATCATGTTGGCTTAGGCTGTTGGGAATGGGGCAACAGGTACAGATAATGTTCTTGGCTTAGTTTTAAAACCAGATAGTGAAAATGACAAATGTCCTTCTTGCTGATACCAATGCCCTTCCTTTCCCTGAGACACCATAACACAGGATTTCAACGAAACCTTTCCATTTGCTAGATACCAGAATCAACTCTGGGATCAAAATTCATTTTCTTTCTTACTTAGGATAAAGTTACTAGGGGTAATAACTGATCTCTTTGCTAGCCAGATTTTAAGAGGGAGTTAAAATTGAAAACTGAATGAAAAATATGCCCTATAGTTTTCCTTTTCCATTTTTTTTCTTCATTGATTGTGACCACTTTCAGTAATAAATCATCTCTGTCACTGGTTCTGTAGCTTATGAGACTTGGAAATTACTGTAGCAATAGCTATGGAATTGAACATCCTCTGGGCTGTTACTGTGTCATCAATTTAAATTCAATGAAATCTAGATTAAGTGAGTGGCATTTCACACAACACAGTCTTGAAAGATTCAATATGCCTAATGAGGTAGATATTACTCACAGTCCATTTCATCAGATCCATCAAGACAGTCACTATGGCCATCACAAACTTGCTCCATGGAAATGCATTTCTGACCATCCTTACAGGACTGTGATGGTACAGCACACTGGACAGCTTCAGTACATTTGTTTGCATCAGCCAAGTAGTACCCCCTGGGACACTTGCAGGTCTGACCCTCGGGATTTGGTAAACAGATGTGGCTACATCCTCCATTGTCCTTTGAGCAGCTATTATTACCTGTAGATCCCCAACCCCACCCCACAAAATATACTGAATTAAATTAAGTTCAAAAGAGTCATGCACGAAATTTTTTCAAACACATTATCATAGTTAGAGGACACAGATGTTTTCCCCAAATTAGACAGCTTTTCAATTTAATTCCTTTTAATCAAGTAGGTTCTGAATAACTAGTGATTCTTCTTCATAGGTAGGATGGCTTTAGAAGTTTAGGATGGCTTAGGAAAAATTGAGGAGATCACTCATTAATTCAAGGTTTATTAGGAAATCTGTTCACATCAAGCATCCACCATCAGAACTACAAAGACCTTTGAAATGTCTTTTTTTGAAAATATGCAATATGTGGTGTTTATTATCCCTTTGAGAAATTGGTTAAGTCAGTCATTTATGGCTTAGTTTCATTTCCCAAGGCTTGTTTCATAAACTTTAATCTCTAGTGAAGTTTTCTTCTGTGACATATTCCAGGAACTGTGGTATATATGTGGTAGAGATAAAACCAATAATAAGGTGACAAGAAGCCTTCTTCAAGCTCTAAGAACTAAGCAACAGACCACTTGTGTGGTCTGTGTGTGTGACCACTTATCAGGTTAAAGAGTTCTAAAATATTCCCCTCAGCAAGCCAACACTGCAGGAGGATAAGCATGACTGGCACTATTTTATGATGTTTAGTCTTCACAATAAAACAAGGAAGAAGTAGTCTCTTAAAACTAATATACTCATCATACAGAATAGTATGTGTGGCTCATGAATTGAGTTCACATTGCTGGCATTAATCTCAACTAGGAACAGATTTCATCTATTGCAACTGTATTTAACCCATCACTGCCCTCTTGAATTATTCAGATATGCCAATTGTGTGTGTAAAATAAATGGAGAAAAACATCTGAGCATCCTCAGTTCATACATCAAGACTCAGTTAACAACAGAGGTAGATGCAGATGGCAATGAGTAGAATTCAGAGTAGCACTACTTTGGAATTATTAATTCAGTTGTACTACTGTTGTTGTAATTCAGTCTACAGTAATAAGTCTGAAAATAGAATTCAAGTGCTACAGACTGGATCGTAAGTATCCTCCAAAGGTCCACATGGTAAAAGCTTTCTCATTAATGTTCTGCTATAGGTGGAAATTTTAAGAAGCAAAGCCTGACAGGATATTCTTAAGTCACTGGGGACATACACTTAAAGGGATTATGGGGCACCCCACTCTCTTTCTCTTTTTACTTTGCTTCCTTGTTGGAAGGAAAGCAGTTTTGCTCTGCCACATGTTTCTTCCATGATATACTGCCATGCAATTTATCATGGACTGAAATGTCTAAAACTCTGAACCAAAATAAGTCTTTTCACTGTGTAAGTTGATTATCTAAAGTATACATTATATTAAGAAAAAGCCAACATACCATTTCTACCAACATCTGGCCAGATAATATTGTACCTGCCAGATAAGTAATAGTACTAATTATGTGCCTAAGCCAAGCTATATAAAACTGCATTAAAAACAAGAAAGTTGTGTATATCTATAGGAATTTGCCAGGGAAATATTTTAGTGTAATGAATGACAAATACAAAAATATTTCAAGGGGTGGGGATGTAGCTCAACGGCACAGCACCTGTCTGCCAAGTTTGAGGCCCTGAGTTCAATTCCACCCCAGTACCAAAAAAATTTTATTTCAAGACAATATGGCATGGTGGTGTATCCCTTTTACGTTATTCAGTTTTCAATCACTGTGACAAAATACCTCAGAAAAACATCTTAGAGGAGAAAAACATTTATTTTGGCTTATAGTTTCAGAGGTTTTAGTTCACGGTCACTTGACTCGGTTGCTTCTGGGACTATGTTGAGTCAAACATCATGGTGGGGAGCATGTGATGGAGCAAAGCAGCTCATCTCATGGAAGATAGGACAGGAGAGGAAAAAGAGAGACACAGAGAAAGAAAGACACACACACACACACACACACACACACACACACAGAACAAGGACAAGATGTTCTCTTCTAGGCACATACCAAGTGACCTACTTCTTCTAACTAGGCCCCACATCCTAAAGTTTCCACCACATTCCAATAATACTATCAAATTATGACTCTATCAATGGGTTAATCCACTGATGAGGTGAGAGCTCCTGTGACACAGTCACCTCCCAAAAGTCCTTCCTGTGACCACTGATGCCAACCCTCCAACATGTGAGCATTTGGGGGACAGTTCAGATCCAACTCAAAACACTCTCCACAGGGAAATTCAGTAGACTGTTGTCTAACCATTGCAGGTTTACTCACCTTGTTGCTTAAATACACTATACACTTTTAAGTCCACAATCTTCTGGTCAATTTGGAACCACCAGCTTTCTGAAACTTCTTTTTTGCTATACCAAACTTTAGTGATTTGGGCTAAAACAAAAGCCATTGTTAATAAACAAAAGCCATTTGGGCTAAAACAAAAGCCATGTTAATAAACATTAACAAAACCAAAATTTTATCTTAAAGCAACTTCTTGAGCAGAGAACATTGCTCAATATAAGTTTTACTTACCTGCCTAGATGCATAACTAGTTTTATACACTAGACATGAAGAGACGTACATGTAGTTTTCTAAATTTTGTTTTTGAGAAGAAATCTCAAGAGAAATTTAAACCATTATATACTTTCTTATAAATAAAATCATATGTTAATAAGCTATGTCTAGAATATTCTTCTATGTTCAAGCAGGAAAAGAAGATACATGCCACTTAGATACAGTCCATGCAATGAGTAGGTAATGGTTTTAAATACTATTCTAAGAACCAGGTATATAGCTCAGTGGCACAGCACCTGCTTGGCAAGCACAAGGTCCTGAGTTTGATTCCCAGTACCAGAAAATAAATACTATTCTAGTACAACACTTTGGAAATGGCTTATTTGCCACAAGAGTTATCAGTGGATCTTAGAATAAATAGTGAAGGTCTCATCAGATACCTAGCATATTAACCTCTCTAAAGTAGGACCTGAAAACTAGTTCTGGAAATTCTAATGTGGTCAGTCAAACTAGCCAATGGACTCACTTGAAAATATAAAAAGACATGTATTTTAAGCATCATTTTCTAGTTTTATCAAGCCTGGACATGGTCAGAAATTTATGCACAGAAATCTAGCACATACATAATAATATACCAGAAGATTGTCATTTAAGACAATCCCTTTGGAATGTCAGAAATGCCATGTTGGAATATTCTATAATTCAAGTAATAATTTCATGTGTATTCAGTCAACTAAGATAGGCACTGTCCTCATTTTATAGGCAAAGTGTTCCAGCTACTAATTGACAGAGCAGGTACACAACTGAGTTCCAATCCCTGGCCCAGTACTTTCTGTACTACACCAGTACTAAAATTTGAGTAAGTATTCCTTAAAGACCTGTGTGTTGAAGGTTTGGTTCTCAGTTTTATAGGAACTTTTAGAATGTGCAATCCAGTGCAATAGAAGCATGTTAGATTACCAGGAGTGCATACTAGAAGGGAAAGTTGAGGCCTTGGCCTCTCTTCTTCCTCTCATTTTGTTTTCTGGTTGCCATGAGTAAGCAACTTCCTCTACCACATGCTCCCACCATGATATACTGTTTTACCAGGCCCAAGGGCAACAGGACCAAGCAACCATAGACTGAGCTCTATGAAACCATGGATCAAAATAAACTTTTCCTCCTTATAATTTGATTATCACAGGAGCTCTACCACACCAACAGAAAACTAACATAACCCTGGTGTCTTTGAAAGCAAAGAGCCTCATATGAAAATCAGAGATTTAAAAATAGATAAATCTATTAATATAAACAATAAACAAACAAGTCAAAGTTCCCCCCCAAGTCAAATAATCACTGTTATATATTCTTTTTCAAGTTAGAGAAGTTGCTTATTTATATTTCCAAAGAAAGCCACTTGCAAAGACAGGCTCCTAAACAGTATAGCAGATATTCTTTGGATTATCAGCAGTAAATTCAGACTGCAAAGACAATCACATACAGAAGCAAGACCCACCATCATCAACCGTTGTCCAGAACATCATGTCTTGACCACATGTGAAGAGGGTAAGGCCCTGAATTCCTCTGCGTTCCACTCTGTGTCTGGAGCCATCTTGTTGAATGCTTTCTATGAGTCCTCGTGCTAGGAAGAGAGGTTCTGTTACTTATTCCACACACCAATAGCTCTTTATGTCTTGTCCTGCCTCACCTCCAAAGAGATACTGTCTGCCATTGCATCCTCTGAAGCTAGTTCTGCTTCATTCACTCTTCTCTAACATAAATTCACAAAGACTTGCTCATGCATGTTTACTAAGTTCTCAATTATATTTCTTTAAAAGGGGGAAACTTCATGACTCCATGGGTTATAACATGCTATTCAGGATGGGAAAAGATCATATTTGTGTGGAATATGTTGGCAGAAAATGTAAACACGGGTCTAAAATCTATTTGAAGTTATTGCTGAAGATCAGAGTGTACAACTTCACTACTTCACTTTGGCCCAAGGCCCCTCGGGTTCATGTTTAGAATATAGATAACAGCAGCTTACCAGAATCAGCCCAGTACAGTCGAGCCCCTGAATCTGAAAAGGTCAGGCCCACAGGCACCTGGGATTTCTGCCATAGTACCTTTCTCTCACCGCCATCCATGGCGGCACATTCGATGCTGGACCCATGACTCCCATCATTCCAGGGACCCAGGTCCACGAAGCACATGGCTGCAGCAGGTGGGTGCAGAACAACAGAGGCTGGGTGGGAAAGATTTTCCCGGAGCAAGACAATGGGATACTGGCCTTTTGAGGAAGCTACATTAATGTGGGGATTCTCACTGTCAATCCAATATATGTTTCCACTTAGCCAGTCCACAGCAAGGTCGAGTACAGACCCCTCCACAGATATGAGCTTCTTCCAAGAAAGTGTCCCAGATTCTTTAAGATTCAGTAGCCTGATATCACCATTATTCAGTTCAGAAAGGTACAGGGCCTTCTCCTGCACAAGATAATCCATTGATGCAAGCTGGTTCACACTGGTAAAGGGAAACATTCTATGTTCTGGTAAAGTTGCTCGTCTTGGTAAAGCTTTGAGATTTTTCAGATATATCTACAGGAAAAAGAATTAGGTGGATGGGTAGTACTGCTGGAATCTAATCTAGTTCCATATTTTAATTCTGCATCAACATGACAACTTTTAAGTTCAAAATTTCAGTACTTATATCTTCTAAAATCAGAGATCAGTTATTTTCTTCCTTTCCTGGAGCTTCAAACACTGAAAGTTTCTGGAATCCATGTGTTTTGAAGACTTCCTCCTCTGTTAAAAGTCCTCCTCTTCAAATGAGACACAACTAATTAATATCTTACTGAAACTGAAACCAGTCTCTCACTCCAAAATCTGCTTTGTCATTTTAAAATACCCAGTTGACAGGTCCTCTGAATGGCAGAAGTGAGGGAAGACTTACTTGTTCATACCTTTTATTCTCCTGTAATTTATTACAAGTTTCTTCACAAAATGTACTTCCTGCCCAGGCTAGAACCCAGGTGAGCTGCTTGTATTTGGAGTTACCACCCTGAATAATCAGTTATATCCTATACAACTAAGCAAATGTGAACTCACTCTCAGATCCCTAACTTGACTGTGTTCTGGTATACAAAGCACTTCTTAGGGAAATTTAAGTAGATAGGATCTTCATTTAATTATTTAAAAAAAACTTTACCTTAGTCATACTAGTCCTTTTATTATGGCCAAGATACTTTATTTTGACCATGATGGCACCTAGCACACAGTTGATACTAAAATGTAAGATGTATCTGAAGAATATTTCAAGGGAAAGGGCACTTCCTGGCTATAACTGTGTGTGTAGGATTCAAATATCCAGTCTGGAATAGAATACAGAGCAAGTAGGAACATACTAGGGAAGCTTCAGGTCAGTACCTGTGTGATAACTGTGGGCGATACAAGGAAGACAAATGCAGACTCCTGAAGGGGGACACAGTTGAAGCCGTCATCTGCAAGCAACCAGCCAACCGGGCAATGGCAGCTTCCCTCAGATCGTGGGCTCAGGAGGCACAAGTGAGAACATCCAGCGTCCAGACAAGGATTCAAAGACCTGGGCTGTAGCACTTCATGCATTATCTGGAAGAAAATAGCTAGATACCACTACATAATCTTGATCCTTAAAAACAGAACATGTACCTTTTCCTTCTCTTTTTCTATGGTAAGAGAAATTGAGCCCAGGGCCTTGTGCATGCTAAGCACACCCTGTACCATTGAACCACATCCCCAGCCCAAAGTGGCTTTTTAAAAGCTATAGATAGATATTGTTAAGGTTGATATTTAGGCAGGTCTCTCTCTCACACACACACACACACACATACACACATACACATGCACATGCACACAGGCTTTTTAGGGAGATATTTTAAAGAGCATGTCGGCCACCTTGAGTCCATAGGGCTGTCCAGAACGCTTGATGAGGACAGCCCGGTTCTTGCCTGTCATCTTCTGCACACGCTGTACTGTTCTTGTCTTCATCTCAGACCAGAAGACTTCATCTTCAAACACAGTGACTGAAAAGGGGTTCTTGATTTGTGTTAGCTGCAACATCTAAAGTGGTAAAGGTAAGCTTTCTAGGGCCCATTCTACACAAGACACGTGACATTTTAAACAAGCCCCATGTCGAAAGGACACTTACACGAATGCCAGTACCATCTAGGTTGGCAGAACCAATGCTGTGAAATTTGTCATCAGACCAGAATATCTTCCAGCTTAACTGGTCAAGAGCTATGCTAGTTGGCCGTCCAAGACCTTGATCAATGAGTATTTTGCGGTTGCTTCCATCCATTCCAGCTTTCTCTATTTGAGGTTTGTCTCCAATTTCAGACCAGTACATTAATCTATGTGAATAAAAGTCAGCTTTAAGATAACGCATTGCCTTGCAGAATATCAGTGCATTCCTTAAAATACTCATTTAGAGCCCAATGATTTTTTTCTTCAATATTAACTAGGTGTATTCTGTAAGTGTAGTTATATAGTAGTAAAAGAAAATTTCCTTGAAGTTAAATGGTGATTGTTTAGTCATCTTTTGAGGGTAAAGTATCTATTATGACAGTTGTATTGGAAACCTGGGAGTTCATTAGTTCTTATCCTGGGAAATATCCAGGAAATATGTCAAGCTTTTTTAAGTAGAAAATAGGCTAGTATCATGTACACGTGGATATCTCAGACTTCATTCTTGACCATAGGCTAGTGATTATATAAAAAACTACTGTTAATTTTCCAATTGATAGATTTCTGGTTGGAGATATTTAAAAAGTAAGAAAGGAGGGACCCCAATATGTGTTTCCTTTGTCTCCTAGATTTCCTGTGACTTTTGGTACACATATCACCATGCCAGTGAAGGAATGGGAATGTTAGCTTTAAATTCCTTGCCTTGGCAAAGAGAAAAGACTGTAAACAGAACAGCCCAAGCTTAACTCAGATCTGGATTATTGTTAATTAAATACTTCTCCTGGTTCAAGTCTCCCCTTAGCTGCCATTTTAAAGTCCACCAGAGGTTTATTTGCTTATATCTTAGCAGAACAATGCTCAGGTGGACCACCAAGTGAGCCCACATGTACATCTTACATTACTGAAATGAGATTGAGAAGTGGTAAAGTTGAGCTTTCCAGGGTCAGTTCTACACAAGACATGCAACATTTTAAACAAGCCCCATGTCAAAAGGACACTTACACAAATGCCAGTACCATCTAGCTTGGCAGAACCAATGCTGTGAAATTTGAAATGAAGAACTTTTTCTAGAAGTTTTTAAGATGATCATGTATGTAGTTGGCCCACATCACCATAAAATATAAAGCAAAATCAAGTTTTCTATTCACTCATTCTGTGTTAAGGGGACAGAAGCAAAGTGGAACTATGGAAGAATAACCAATTTAAAGGTCTTCACCAGGCAATTAGACACCAACTTACCCATTAAGAGGATCCAAAGCCAAAGACCTAGGTTGAGTCAAGTCATCCTCCAAGACAACTGTGTACTCGAGTTTTCCTCTCCAAACAGCAGTCAATGGAATGGCCAAAATCTGACCAGCTGTCCCATCAGTCCAGTACAGATTCCTTCCAATCCAGTCAACTGCTATAGAGTCTGACTTTATCCCTAAAGAAATCATTCAACATGTGTACGTATGGTAAATTATAACATTTAGTAGATTTGTATGCCATGTTAATTCATTTTCCCACTGCTATATGCATCTCCAAAATAGCAATCTTCTTTAAAATGTTCAAAGTACTATTGTAGAAGAAGATAACTATTAAAAATAGTAGTCACTCACTGATGGTTTGGCAGACTCCTTTGTCTATGGAGATGACAATGCATCTTTCCAACCAGCAACTTCTGGCTACCAAGACTCGATCTCTTTTTCCTAAGGAGATAGCTAAGGCGGTAGCTTGGCAGACTCCTTTGTCTTGGTCTAGCAAGTCTTGGTCTTTTAGTTAGGGAACCATAACCAAACTAATGTTTGGAATGTTAATGGCCATTCGTTTTCTTATTTATGCAATGTGAATTTAGTAAGGGAAGGATGGATGCCCTACTTAGGGGCTTACCTTTCACCACAGTGCCTTTCTTGGTCGTGTCCATACTTATCCACTGTATACTTTCTGCGTTGAAATCTGCCCAAAAGACTTTCTGATCCACCAAGTCATAGTCAACAGAGAAAATAATCAGATTCTTGTCTATAGTTGCCAAAATATCTTCTTTCAAGCTTCTCAATCCATAGAGAAATAAGTTAGATTGAATTGCAATAAGCAGGATCGGTTCAGTACCTATGAAATAAGAATTGCTTTCAATATGGCATTGAAAGAATTTGAAAAGTAAATCCCAGTGCTAGTTAGAAATTCAAGGACTCAGTAGTCTTTCCCTTTCGTTGCCAAAGCTGAGATGCCAACTACCTTGTATCAAAAGAGTTCTCATCATAGAACAGTTAAAAGAATAACTACTTCAAAAGATACTTAAGGGAAATAAAGAATTAATAGTTTAAACTGAAAAAATTCCCACATTTCTAACTAAGTATTTTGGGGGCAGGTATGTGGAAAGAAATGTTTTACAGGCTTGGTAAAGTTGGTCCATGGATATAGAGGCCAGAGTTATGGTTTTGTTACCATAATAATTTATTAGTAGATACTTTCAGGCTGTCATTCAGTGTGAAGTACAAGGTCTAAAAGGATGGCTTTGGGGATAGGTTAGGCTTTTTCTAAGGACAAATAACAAGGAGGAGACCTAAGGAGGAGAGATTCAGGTTCATGTTCCTAGAAGTTTTGAGAATTTAAAGCTAGTGACCCAGGATTTAGAAGACATTCCATGTTCCAGTTTACCTGTTGCCTTACAAGTATGGCCGTCAGGCTCCAGAGAGTAGCCAGGATGACAGGTGCAGGTGTATGAGCCCTTGGTATTGACACAGGTGTGACTGCAAGGCTGACCACCAAACCCCTGGCACTCATCCACGTCCTCACAGATCCCGCCGCTGCTCTCCAGCTCGAAGCCTGGCTCACAAGCACAGACCTGATGGATGTGAGATGACATTGAGACTTTCTGAAGACAGAACAGTAGTAGGTTTAAAAAGTGGTGGGGAAGGGGATCAACTGGTAATGAAGAGCACACAGTGATATATTCCATTTTGGCAGCTGTTTGTCAACTATTTTCAGAGCCAATCTATTTTAAATATAGGTGATTCTCTTGACCTTATCTAATTTGCCATAACCCTTACATCATGGGTCCTGAGTTGGGCAAAGGGGTCCAGACTGAACAAGATCAGTGAGAGGAAAAGTAAGCAGACTTAACTGAAATGGTTGCCGATCAAAAGAATGTTCGCATGACCAGACATCAGAACAGTTGCTTTTTTTTTTTTTTTTTTTTAATTTGCCTATTAGAATCAAGTCCACTGTGTTCAGCCAACTAAAACTACTAACCAGCGAACAGGTGGTTCTCAGTTTAAGGGCAGGTCAGATTCCAAACACCCATTGTGGGAATTGTTTCCAAGTAGTCAATTTCCTGAACTGCAACTCTAGGGGGGTTTGACTCTTAGGGTAATCGACAAAATTTCTGTTAATCCTCAAGTCTCACCCAGGGCTGAAATGAAGTGGGCTGGGTGGTAGAGTTCCAGGAGACACAGATGGGGAGGAGCTGGACAGGACTCACCAGGAGCCAGGAAAGGCTCAGGCACATCAGTGAATGGTCAGAACAGCCCTATCGTGTAAGCTTTCAAGCTGGAGCCTGAATAGGGATGGCGTGAATGGGGAAATGCCTGTGTTCCACAGACCAAGTTTATGCTTGCCAGAGAACAGTAGCTGAAGCAACTCACAGGCCCAGCTGGGGACATGTAGCAGGTATGCAGACACTGTCCTGGGCTGCATGCTGATAGTTGGCACCTGCCACCTTCATCCGAGCTGTCAGCACAGTCCTCCTTCCCATCGCACACCAAGCTGAAGTTGAGGCAGACGGAGGTGCCACACTGGAACTCAGAACCCCGGCACTTCTGAGGGGGGCCTGCAGGGAATGACCCTCCACTTAGAATCACGCACCCCTCCTTAGCAAGGCTTCCCTGGTGCAATCAAGACTCCTTCATTTGGGGAAAGAAATGGATTTGGGCTGTTGCAGCCTTTGCTCAAGGAGTTCGTTTCTCACTTCCAGATCAGGCAAGCACCAGGGCCCCCCCCGTGAGTGTTTCCTTTACTTACATCCAGCCTCGTCACTGCCATCCCTGCAGTCCCTCTCCCCGTCACAGTGCCAGAAGTCAGGCACACACTGGTCTCGGCTGGCACAGGCCCACTGCCTTGGGCTACACCGGAGTGCCTTGGGGTCACAGTCCTGAGAAGCAAAACACAGTCAGCATCTGCTGCAGTTAGGGCCCCTGGGGGAAGGGCTCTCAGAGGAAGAAGAGGCCAGCAGTAGCAAGCTGCTCTCAAGTCCCTCCTTCGAGGAAGCCCCACGGAGCCTGCAAACTCAGAAGTGACACAAATTGTGAGAAACTCTTTCCACAGTTAGAGTTTAGGTGAGGATTTCTAGGTGTACAAACCTAGGCATAAAGTTACAGTAAATCTCTTATTTTGTCAAATTTATTTCAATTTCATTTAGGAAACATAGGCAAAGGAATATGTTCTAGATATGCTACTCTAACACATGCTCCAGCAGATAAATTTGACAGCATACTCTGCATCTACTGTGAGTTGGCTACTCAGAAGGAAGGGGAGCATCTGTGTGCCAGCTCGTCCCTAGAGCCTTCAGAAGTATTCTCAACCCCTCAGACAGGATGAGGCAGATCCTAGACCCACTTTACTGTGCGGAAATAGGACCCCCACATGTGCTTGCTTAAGGTCACATGAGATCAGTAGATTCACATCCAGGCTGCACTTTATACAATCTTAAAGCTTTAGTAAACTTCATGGTGGCAGCTAAGCAAAGTTAGTGGCAGGGCTGTTCATTTCTCCAGTGAGTGTATATTTCTAGGTAGGACAAAGTTACCATATCTGATACTTGCAAATTTCCTCCTACAATTAAATACACTCTCTCTTAGTTTGATTTTTAACAGCCTCCTGTTAACACTTTGGATACTTTGATAAAGTTATGAGTGGCTTTCAGAAAAGTGATTCAAGGGGAATTCTCTCTTATGTTTTCCCAAATTGTCTATAGAAAGCTTGCATTACTGTTGCAATTAGAAATCTACAGTCAGCTCTTGATGCTGAGAGATTCTATACCAATGCATTCAACTAAATGCAAATAAAAAATACTGGATGCAGGGGCTGGGGATTTAGCTCAGCGGCAAAAGCGCCTGCCTGGCAAGCGCAAGGTCGTGAGTTCGGTTCCCGGTACCGGAGAAAAAACAAAAAAACAAAAAAAAAAAAAATACTGGATGCATCTGTACTGAATATGTATCAAATTTTTTCTTTGCATTATTCCCTAAACAATACAGTGTAACAACTATATAACATGTGCATTATATTAGGTATTATAAGTAATCTACAGATGATTTAGCATATGGGTTACAATCAGATATTTCCTATGCCATTTTATATGAAGGACCTGAGCATGCCCATATCTGTATCCTTGAGAGGTTCTGGAAACAGTTCCCTGTGGAAGCTGAGGGGTGGTGGTGCTTTTGTATTTTTCTGAAAGAAGAGTGTGCTACCTTCTCATCGCTTCCATCTTTGCAGTCTAGGTCATGGTCACATATCCACTCTGCTAATACACATTCTCCACTGCTCTGGCACTTCACTTCCCCCACTGGGCACCTCAAGGGCCAAGCAGCAGGACATCCTTCTTCATCGGAGTGGTCCAGGCAGTCTGGGTACCCATCACAGTGCAGAGAGTAGGAAATGCATTGGCCACTCTTACATCTAAATTCAGATGTGCTGCAGTTTTCATGAACTGAAAAAATAAAGCTTAAGGTAAGAATTCAGGCAGATACAAAGCAATTCAAAGACAAATGAAATGATTTGCAGAGTCACCTGGCTTCTGCTATTGCCATGAGTATCATCTGCAGCAGGTGTCGGAACAGGAGAGTGATTCAAGCTGAGAGTTATGCCAGAAAGGAACTGCTATTGGGCTTTCCCCCAAAATAGAAGCTGCCCCCCAACCCCCTCTTTGTCTTAGAAAAGAAGAGTTGAGAGACAAGGATGAAAGGGCATGTAGAAGGACTCAGAATAAAGGCAGAGTAAGGACTCTCCGCTAGGCCCTTTATTTCATGTACAAAAAAGAGAAATTTCCCATAATGGAAATGTTCTTTAATTTATGCTCTTGGACTCAATAACTATACATAAATATTGCTTGAGTTGGTTTGAGAAAAAGAATCTTCTCATCACTTCCATCTTTGCAAAGAACCAGGCCCTATGGAAAATCATAAGTATGTATTAATAAGTAAATGAACCTGAGTCTTCCCACTTTCTTCCTGTATTGCTTATCCTTTGATATCCTCATGAATCCAAGTGCAGTCATAGCCTCTGGCAATGCAATCACCTCCGCACCCCAGTCTATCACGGTATCTTGCCCAGCATCCTTTCTTCCCACTTCAGTTCTCATAATTCTGTCTTCTACCCTCATCCCAAGGATGAAGTGAGTCTTTGAAACACGTCATTGGCAAGAATAAAAATGAAGACTATTATCGCACAAAGATGAGAAGTACTAACATCTACAAATGAGATGGCCTGTCACCTGAAGAGACCTAGAACCAAAATGTTAATCCTCAAGGATGTAGATTTTTAGCTCAACAAGAAATACTTCAAGGAAGTAGCATTTTATGGATGAGGGATGTTGAGTATAATCACCAAAATTCCTCCAACTCAAATCCTTTCATCTTATTCTGTTGCCTCTATAGTAGGTACAACTAACCCTCACTATTTGTGGCTTCAGTATTTACATATTAAACTACTTGCTAACCCCAAAGTCGATGTTTCCATACCTTCATGGTTATTTGTAGATATAAGAGAGCAGTAAGGAAAATCTGCCTCTCCCAATGTGCATTCCTACCTGTGACTGTGCAAAACAACAATCTGCCTTCTTAAGTCAACTCTCAAACTGTAAACAAGTGTCCTTTCTGCAGTGTTCTTAGGAACATGTTTCCACATTTGTGTACTTTTGGTGACTTTGCTATTTAAAGTAGCCTCCAAGTGCTATACTGCAGTCCATCTAGTGTTCCTGGGCACTAGAAGGTTGTGAGGTGTTTAGAAGGTTGTGAGGTTGTGTTAGGCTTCCCAAAAGCATGACTTATGCTGCTGTGAGTTCAGTGTTAATAAATCAGTAAAACACATTAAGATGTTTTCAAACAGCAACACACAATAAAGTCTCATGTCCGATGATTGACAAAAATGTTGTGGCCAGTGGCTCAAAGGAACCCGACCTCATATTTTGCCCCACAGCAATGGTTTGGCACCTGCCAATTTGGGGTTTGAAAAAACTTCAGAGAACGTAACTACCACAAATAAGAAGAATCAGCTGTAACACAGATTAAAATAATCATGGAAAGCACCATGGAACTTACTACATCCTTGTTCATCTTTTTTGTCAGAGCAGTCTAGGTTCCCATCACACAGCCAGCTCTTGGGGATACAGCGGGTCTTCTCATCACATTGCAGAGAACAGTCCTCAGTGGGTTTCCAGCAGGCCACCTCATCAGACCCATCAGGGCACTGCTGGGCTCCATCACAGCGGTATTTCTCCTCTATGCATCTGCTTCCATCCAGACACTGGAAGACCCCTGCAGTAGGAAGGACAAATGCTAGTATCCTTCATAAAAGGTTCAAAATTGTGTTAACTCACTCTTGTTCTGGAGTTTGAAGTATAATGCTCAAGTTTATTGTATCTGAGTTCTAATGCCTAGTTGATCCATATGCAATCTCTAATGATATGCTTGGGTCAATTAAGCTAGCAAACTGAACCTGGTCATTTAAAGAAGCTCTTGCTTGTTTCATTAGTTTGGTGCCATTAAACCACTACCAACTCTAGCAACACATGGACCACTTAGGTCACGGAATGGACCAGCCTATATAAAGGCAAGATAGTGGAATATTTAGCAGACTGGAGGAAGCAAGGAGGAAGTAATCAAGCACATGAATTAAGTGTAATGAAACTGGCACTCGGAGAACCAGGATCCTGATAGATGATGGCTTTCATCTATGTTAACTTGCCTGGGAAAAGTCAGTATGATTAGAAGTAAATGCTCTGACAGTTCAAACCATACTCTTGGAGTTTAGTGGTATAAGTGGCACAAAAGACTGAGGACAGGACAGGGTGACAGACCTAGTCTGTGGCAGATCTGGGAGCAGGTCTCCTCATCCGAGCCATCCTCACAGCCATGCTCCCCATTGCAAAGGGACTCCTGGGAGATGCACTTCTTCCCTTCATGACAGAGCACAGAGGATTGAGTGCAAAGCAGAGGTGGTACAGGAAGGGCAACTGGGGCTGCTCCCTTCCCCGCGGGATCTAGAGCAATTCACCGTCTCAGCATGTCAGTCCCTGCGGTCCTGCCAGGGGTCCCTTCCTCTGGAAAGCTAGACTGTGGCTGATGATCAACATTTCTCTACCTTGTAGAATGAACAGTGAAACTGATCCAAAGCTTACATCCTTAGATTAAGGATACTTTACAATTTGGGCAAATTATTCTCTTTTCAGGCTACAAACTTTAATTTTTTCACTATCTTATGTTCTTTTGCAGTCTGGGAAACAAAAAGTATAGTAGTCTATTGCAGAATAGCATTTTAGTCAAGCATAGACCATACAAATGAAAGTTGTCCCAGAAGATTACAAAAGAGCTGAATTTTTTTATCACTTGGTGACATCATTGCTGTCAACACTGAGTATAACAAATTAGTCATGTGTCTGTGGTAATGCTGGTGTAAATAAACCTACTGTGTTCTCAGTCATATAAAAGCACAGCATGTGACAATTATGTACAGGAATGATCTATACCCTCTAGGTTTATATATCTATGATGAGGTCATCTCACAACACATTTCTTAGAATGTATCCCTATCACTAAGTGACACATGAATGTCCTTCTGGTTTCCTCTAGAACATCCTGTGGTTGTTCCAGCATAAAATAGGCATTCATTTGTTGAGATGCATAAATTACACTGTTAAAGTTATCAATTAGTATTCCTCAGCATCTATGGTAGCAACTGAACAGATTTGTTAGACTAATTAAAACTGGAATTGTTACAGAAAAGCTAATTTCATTTGCACACTTTATTTGCATATAAGAAAGAGGTCTTCATGCCTGCTGTTTCATAGCCCTTAAGGTCAGGTTAAATCAACCAGCAATTCAAAAAATAGGGCGGTGTGGACAGAAGAAGGAAACAAGACAGTACAGGAACAAATATACTGTGGAAATGATTCTGTCCTTTATTCCTACTCCTCTGTGGGACATCCAGCTGCTTCGCCAACAAGGACCTAATGAAACTTATGATATGAATTTTCCTTTTGCTGTCTCCAGGAGCAGAGTTTTGGGCACTATGTCAAAGACATATAGACAAAAAAGGTAAACCACCTTTAAGTAGATTTATCTAAAAAATCTCTGGCACAACTTCAACAAATGTAAAAGTGCTGCTCTTCCTGGTACAGGACATACATTCTTAATTCAAAACCCAGAAGTTTAAATGCTCAAACATCTAAAATTGTCTCATTGTCAAAGTGATGGCATAAGTAAAAACTTCTACACCTGACCTCATGGGACACAGCTCATAATCAAAATATGGGAGCACTAATATTTTATAAAGTAACCTTCAAGCTATGTGCATAAGGTGTATGTGAAACATAAATAAATTGCATGCTTAGATTTGGGTCCTACCCCTAGAATAGCTCATTACACATATGCAAATGTATTTATTCCAAAATTTTACAGAAATCCAAAACCTGAAACACTTATCCCAAGCATTTCAGATAAGAGATACTCAACATGCAAAATGTTATTTGCTATGCATTCCATGGGAGGGAAAAATGATTCTTTGGTAAATTAGTGTGGGAAGCTGGTTAAGTGCAAATTAAATGGATATCTTCACTGACAGATGAAAAGCCATGAATATGCTAATGTTCAAGAAGATTTCCAAAAGGAAATGGCGTGCAAACTTCTTTGAATAATGCTAAGAGACATGTATCACTTGACAACTTTGAGAAATGTGTTGTATTTTTATATTTCCATACTATGGTAATACTAGAGAGATGGCATACTAAATTGTGGCTTGGGACAACTGCCAAACATACAAATACAGTATTCAGGATTTTATTTGAGAAGAGGTGGGTAAGGTGTATATCAAAGGGTAACCTAACAAAGGAAGACTCACTTGGCACTTCCTGGTTCTCTGCTAAGATGACCATTTTCCTTATGTGCGGCTCCTTCAGCACGGAGAAGGGTTCCAGAGTCTTCCTGTTCCAGAGCACGAGAGCTGCCTTGTCCATGGTCACCAGGTAGGGTGTGTGAGCTGCTATGAGCCCATCACTCCAGGATTTGTTCAAAGAGTAAGTTCTATTTTTTAGGAGACTGAGACTTTGCAACCCTAGAAAAGAGTCAAAGTCTTAGAAGATGATGCTAAACAAGTGATCTGTGACCAGTAAGCTGTCTGGAGCAGGGGCACTATTTGATTGAGGTTCAAAGACCCAAAACTAAAACAAAGCTCATACTAGTCCTATCAAGTTTTACAAGTTTTAGCTTTAAATGGAAAGACAGCCCAATGGTGTATCTCAAGATCCAGGAAGCAAAGGGCTTTGGTATGCCTTGAGGGCAAATGAGAGATGATTCTACTGTCTTATTATTTTTCATACATATGAAAAATATCCAGTCATCAATATCCACCTTCCAGTGCTCAAGAATGGCCTCTGGATAATAAGATGCTCAAAATCAGCTATGAAAGAATGATTTACACCTGATATCGCATTATCTCTTCTTTGCAGTAGAAGTTTGATTATGCTACTTCTATGTATAGAGGTAGAAACAAATTCTGAACATGATAAAATCTATTACATGTACAGAAAAGCAGTTTGTTGTATTATTTCTGAGTTTTTCTATCCTTTAAATCCCCAACACAGACATTCAGATGAGATGAGTTTGAGGTAAGTGACTTGTCCAGGCTTTCACTATTAAAATTAGAGTGAAGGCCTATGCCTAACTAGTTCTTAGAATAGCTGGAGTAACTAGAAGAGAAGGTTTTGAATGTTTCACCACAAAAAATTAAACATGACGTGTGTTACACATAGATATATTTTCTAATTGCCCTGATTTGGTCATTACACATACCCGTGTCAAAGTATCACAATGTGCTCCATAAATATGTGCAATGATTGTGTGTGGATTAAAAACAAAAAGTTTCTTCAGCACACCCAAAAATAGCAGCAATAAAAAGGAGAAATCTAAAACTGAGGACTAGAAGCATTATAGCTTTAAAGACAAGACAAGTTTGGAATTGCTCACCCCTTGCATCTCTTCCCACTGGACTGTTTGCACAGTACTTACCCAGCCCCTTGCTGGTCCAAAGGATGCTAGCTGAGTTGAGGTCTAAGGCCATCTGGATGTCTGCCGTCCAGGTACCTCTCCACACTACCTGTCTGTTTTGGCCATCGAGGGTCATACTTTGCAAGTGGTTGCTACTCTCCACCCAGTATAGTGCCCTCCTTGGCCAGTCAAGAAGCAGCTGCAATATAATGCCGCCTGTGCGATAGAGGGATTGTGTGTCTGCTCCAGGAATTATGGTCTTCCAAATGGCACTTCGGTCACAGGGTAGCCAGTACACAGTCCCTGTTGCTATGTCCACATTTGCCGAGCAGACTGAGGAAGAAAAGTAACTCCATTACAAAGAGCTTTCAAATATATTCATGGACTGACCCAAACTTTGGACTAAGGAAAGAAGGGAGATAGGGAGGTGTCAATCAAGGATTTAAAAATCTGTCCCTCACAAGCCAACAGTTCTTCACATCATAAGCCTCATTGGGCCTGCCCTGCTTCAGGTAATTTGTCATAGGACCTCACTTGATGCTTTCAGTCACCTAACAAGGAAGCATTCATTCCCTGCATTTGGTAGGTTAGATGTCCAAGTGGCAAAGCTTGTGTCTGAATGTAGATCTCCAACTTCAGCTTCACATTCCTTTTTCTCATGGGTTAAGCATGAAAATCAATTACAAGTCAAGTGACTAGAACTGACATTGCTGTCAGAAAGCAAAGACTGGGCTAGAGACGCCACTGCACTGGTACAGAAGACCACTGATAGAGTGTATGGGCTGGTGGTAAGGAATCTACAACTACAAGGTACAGATATAATAGAAATCAAGTATATGAATGCTACAAAATGTCCACTATCAAAGGCGAATAATTGAATTAGGCATTGATCTTCAAAACACTCTTCCTATCACTAGCTAGTGGGTCTACACTAGGAACTGAGTCTAGCATATTCTGGAACACAGTCTAGCATAAAGGTTGAGAGCAATATCAGGCTAACAAGTCAGAAAGCCTCTTTCAAAACCCTATTCCATCATGAGCTGTTGCTTAACCTCATTTTTCTTAAAAGTATGATAGTGATACTGCTTCTCTTCTAAGGTTGTTATAAGAAGTACAGTTACAACATACAAAATGCTTAGGATAGCATCTGTTGTTTCACAGCACAGTAATGAAGTTTACTTGTACAAGCTCACAACAGCTAATTGTTAAATTCAGGAGTTCTGAGGATGTTTAGTCAATGTAAAATTTAACTAAGATACATTAATTTATTAAAAGTAATACTTAACTTGTTGCATCTTAATTATTTCCCTACATTTTGAAATTTGAATATTCTTTATCTGAAATGCTGGGGACAAGATGTGCCTTAGATTTTGGATTTTAAAAAATTTTTTGAGATATTTACATATATATGTATGGGTATTTACACATGCACACACACACACATATATATGTATACATACAGAGAGAGAGATCTTGGGGGAGGGGACCCAAATCTAGCTGTGAAGTTCCTTTGTGTTTCACATACATCTTGCACATACTGCCTGAAAGCAATTGTTGTACAAGTTTCAGGGCATCTGCACTTTGACTGCAGCCTAACACATGCAATCAGGTATGAGATTTTCTGCTTCCTGCATCATATGGGCACTTGAACACTTTTGGATTTCATGGCACTTAGAAATTCAGATTTTTGGGTTACAGCAGTCCAACCTGTATCTCTACTATAGTTTGTGTCAACTGTATCCATATGGTAGAGATACTATATACAGGTTTGCCACCACGCATCCCTTCCCAACTCCATATTCAACAATGGCATACTGTAGATCAAAATCTGTCATTGTGGGAGTGTTTACACCATGAAAATTGTAAGCACTGTAAATCAGGGCTTGATTATTTTTCTTAAATTTTGTTTCATAGACCAGGGACTGGCACTGGCCCTGTGCTTTTTGCTGTAGGTAGCTTTTAGCCAATCAATCACACATTATGGCCACTTTCATGATACAAAGGCAGAGTACTGACCAAGCCTAAAATATTCATTGTCTGGTGTTTTACACAAAAAGTGTGCCAAGACCACATCATCTAGATTTAAGAAAATGACAATGTATTAATAATTCAGGTTACTCTGATGTGTGTCCTATTTATAGCCATTAAACTCTAAATACCACAAAAAATTGAGATCTTTTTCTAATATTTAAATTTTATTATCCAATTCAGCAAAGAAGTTATGCTGCTGATGAGCTAATTCCAACAAGTCTTCACTACTTCAATTTTGTCTCACTTGCATTTGGAAACAAAAGTACCAACCTACATTTAAGTAAAAACTATTCTCAACTACGTCTTTACATAATCAGATATTATGCAAGCATTTATTCAGAGATTGTTAAATCTAGCTTGAATTGCAACCATAGATTGGCTTCCAATCCAAGAATTCAGTATAAAAATCATCCTGTGAAAAATCAGTTAAAATAACAATGTAGAATTTACAATAAAGAACATCACACCTTTTTGTTATTTGTAGGTTGTATGTTACACACCCTGTATAACACTGAGCTTTACTATAAACATATTTTGGCATGTATATGCACACTCCCCACCCTAGAAAGCTAGTTGTTAAGTCTTTTCTAGCACATTACTCAATATTATTGTAATAGCTCAAATGTTAGCCTGTACTATCTACAGAGACTGTGTCCCCAGCTCTCGAATTTACAGTGAATCTTTGCCTTCTACAGATCTGAGGTTGAAAGTTCAGTTGCCGGGGTCACAGAATATTCTCTGTTCCATGCTATGTTCATTCCTACAGACACACTAATCTTTCTAAGACAGAATTTTGAGGCCCTCCCATTTTTGAGTAGGAATTTCACTTATATTTTTTAGCTTCATATGAAAGCTTTCAGTCTTTCATATGAGGACAAGATTAATACAACCAAGGGAAAACACTGACACCAATACATTCTGATGTAAAGATAAGCTAAAAGCTGCAGGCTCATGTGTTGTAAGGAAACTGTGCAATCTGTGAGCAGGTCTAGACAGCTGAGGTGATGCTACAACTCCTGTATATCAAAGGCTGGGCTGCCTCTGTCCAGGATTTAGCCATTGCTAGAGTTTGGATCTTGAAAATCTCCCAGAGGCTCATGTGTTCAGGTTTGGTCCTCAGCTTAGCACTACTGGGAGGTGGGGGAAAATTTAGAGGTGGGGCTTAGTGAAAGGTCTTTAGGTCACTGGGGATGTGTCCTTGAAGGGGATTGTGAGACTCCAGCCTCTTCCTCCTCTCTTTTGCTTCTTGGGCCCGAAGTGAGAGTTCTGCTCTGCTGTTGACTCCTATCCCTACCATTCACCACTCCCACCAGAGGCCTGAGAGCAAAGAATCCACCTGAACAGAACCTCTAAAACGCTGAGCCAATATAAATCTTTTTTTCATTTATTTATTTAACTTTTTCTTTATATGCTGATTATTTCAGGTATGTGTTACACTAATACAAAGCTGACTGTCATAGCCAAAGGGTCTCCATTCAAGAGCCAGCTCAGATGAAAATGTCAGTCTCCTATAATCCTTGACATGATAGTTATGGTACATAAACCAATTAGTCAGATAGCACACTGGGAGCAGGCACATTTTAATTAAGTGGGAAGATACTCATGTGATGGATTCCCTAAGCAGCCATCAGATACCTGCAAAGATCACTGCCCATTTTAGTTTCTCTTGACTGTTTCCTAAATCAAGTAAGGGAAGCTTCAATGTACCAGTAATTGTGCTAGGCACAGGACACTGGGTGAGTGGCATTACCTTGAAGGATGTCCCAGGGATATTTTAATGTAGCACTTGCAGGAGAGCCTGTCCTTTGTACTTGGCACAGCACCCAGTGTACAGATATTCACAAAGCTAACTACTCACCCCTAACTCATCACAGTTCTCCTTTAAAAAGTAGCTATTTACATTGAGCCTGCGTATAGGAAACTTGAAAGCGGGTGTGGCATTTAGGAGTGTGGGAGGGAAGAGAAAGTATATATTACAATATTAAAATATCTCGCTGGTTCTCCAAATCTGCATTGCAAATCACTTTTAAATTAGCTTAGGAGAAATCTGCAATGCAAAATTGAGGAATAAGAGGTCCATTCCTCTCCTCCCCTGACTTAAAGTAAGAAAAGTGAAACTTCAAAAACTTTCTTACTACACCTCTGGGGTTTCCCAAATCATGGTAGCCTTCTGATGTTCTGCACAGACCTTCTAAAACCAATGGCAAATCAGAGACATTTAATACTTAAATTAGGTACAACCACTCTTCAGCATGAAGATACATTTAGATCGCCTCAGGTTAGGTTTTTTGGAGCACAGTTATTCAGAACCAGAAAATAAAGGGGAAAATTAAAAAAACAAAAACTAAATGAAATGGTTATCTCAAATTACCTGTATGCTGTGTCCAAAGCTCTTGTTTTTGACCTGAATACCCACTGGAGTAGACCAGATGTCCCTGTGCATTCGCCCAATAGATAAAGTTCCTTTTCCAGTCAATATCCAACAAATAGATGTTCCCGGGGTGCTCTTGAATTAGAGTTTTCTCTATAGCACTTCCCATAGAGCCTACTTTTAGCACATACAGACGTTTGCCAGAAGAAATCACAAGTTTAAACTCTAGAAAGGAACGAGAAATTTTCCATTCCATCATTTGTCCAATAAGCCCACATTCCCTTCTTACACCAGGTATCCCAGGCTGAGATACCCACAGAAAGGGGACATAGCACATTTGGTTCTGAGGTAGGCATGTGCCACAGTTTCTAGAAAAAATGAGTAGTTTGGGCAAATGCAGTGCTGCTTAGCTTTCCCAAGGAACTGAGCCTCTTGAGTTTCTACTGAAAGGCTAGGCAGAACCATGAGGATGAGGACAGAGCACAGTTCTGCTTGAATTAATAACGCCTCACTACTAAGGAAGTTTTGATGCTTTAAAATAGTTACAGAAGTTACTCAGGAGCCTAACTGTATACAATATATAATCTTTACAGTAAAATTTAGGCTGATGAGTTTGCCACTACAATTTATTACACCATGATTTCATTCAGAGTTACCCTATAAATGGAATTTTTAAAAGGCTCTTTGAATATAAACACATTTTTAGAATTTTTTTTCTTAAAGCCTCAGTATTTTATAGAAAATGTCAACTAAGTTGGATAGAGATGTTCAGTGGATTACATATCCTATAACATGTTGAAGATGAAATAGCAAAATAGAGAAATTTTGCTAACAATATTGAAGCAAATCAAAACTGAAATAGAGACTGCTTAGAAACATGTCAGAATATACAACAGTCATTAAGAGCAGAGGCTATATTTGTTTACTAAATTTTTTGCAAGTTTTTCATTTAAACTAAATGGCATAAGCTATTTTTTCCTACTTTAAAACTATGAAACCCAATTTCCATCAAGAGATGAGTAAGTAAAATATGGTATCTACATACAAGGGAATATCATTCAGTCTTAAGGAAGAAAATCTGGCACATGCCACAACATAAATGAATCTCAAAGACTCAGGGATAAAGTGGGATAATAGAGACCCAAGGAATAAATATCATGATTTCACTAAATGTGGTACTTACAATATGTAAATACATAAAGACAAAAAATAGAGTGGCAGTGGAAAGGACTAGCCGGAGAAAAGAATGGGGCATTAATGTTTAATGGAAAAAGTTTTGGTTTGGGAAGATGAAAAAGTTCTGGAGATGGATGGTGGTGCAGGTTGTGCAAAAGTGTGAGTGTAATTAACACTGCTGTACACTTAGAATGGTTAAATGTTACATTTTCTGTTACATACATTTTAGCACAACAAAAAGACCAAAATGAATCAAGATATGTTCATAACAAGTTGGTCATGAAAGTAGGGTGTGAGTCCAATGGCCATTGATTCTGAAGCGGAAATTGCAGAATTTTTGGACCATCCAGAACACACATCTCCCTGAGCCAAGCCCTTTTTACCTGGGGCACTTACCACTGCATGTACCAGAAGGTAAAAGAAACATTCCCTCTGGGCAGACACACTTATAGCCCTTGGGATGGACAGGTGACAGGAGGCACAAGTGGCTGCAAACGCCTGGAACACAAGCTGGGTGTCTGCCTAATTTTTAACAGAAACAAATTAAATACAGTTTCAGATTTACTTACCCATTCTGGTTCAGAACTTAATACTGAAGAAAAATTAAGCCATTTTTGTCTAAAGAGAAATGTGAATATACCTGTCACCTTCTAGTTCGGTATGCTGACTTTTGAACTTCGGTGATCTCCTAACTGTATTTCTGATAGGCACAATTACTTATCTATCTTAGTCTAAGGCCAATAAAACATCACCCAACATCATCTTCCCCCTTGGAGTTAAATGAGCATGAAAATTTCATTTGCTTTTTGGAAGAATTTCTTATAGTAGTCTAGGCTATCTCCTTTGATAGATTTTTCAGACCTATTTAAGCATCATTATTTCAGCCAGGTGTGGTGATACAGTGTAATCCCAGCACTCAGAAGGTTGAGACAGGAGTTCGAGGCCAGAACTCCTGTCTGGAGTTCGTCACAAGTTCGAGGCCACCCTGGGCTTCATAGTGAGTCTGGGCCAGTCTGAACTACATAACAAAACCCTGCCTTGAAGGAGAAGGAGGAGGAGGAACAAGAGGAGAAGAAGAAGGATGAGAAGAAGGTCAAGAAGAAGAAGAAGCATTAACTGAGTGGAACATAATTTTAGACTACCAACAGCTATTACTCCCCTACCAGTGAACATTTTGACTAGCTTCTATGAACAGGATACTGGGCTTTGTTCATTATCCATTTACTGTTTGACCTGTCAGTGAATGAGCTGCCCCAGCCCCTCTGTGAATAGCTTATTATCCTATGTTTTCTACACTTCAGACCTTAAAAATCTGGCTGATGTTTTAGACAGGCTTAAGGCATACACCTTGGAATAAGTTTTCCTGAGGATGCTTTTGTTCCATTCATCTTACTTAGAAGTCCCAAGTAAGTCTAGCAGAATACCTAGAACATTTTCCTGCCTCAAAATAGCAAATTGCAATGCCACACTGAGGTAGCACATTGGGCAGCCTCAGGTCAGTGTGCATTCTGATTCACCAGCATTCAAAATCAAACCATTTACTTACCCTGAAACTGATACTACAGAAGTTTTGGAGTACCAGGGAATACGCCTTCTTGAGCCAAGCCCTTTGTACCTGGAGGACTTACCACCATAGGTACCAGGAGGTAAAAGAAAATTCCCTCTACATGAACACATTTTCAGTCTTTTACTTACTCTGAGGTTGCAGGGACCTGTGCAGGACTGAGAAAGCAGATATAGATGCATCTAGCAACACTCTTCTCTCCTCTGGGCTGTAGAGTGAGGTGTGAAACAGCTGTGTTTTACTTGCCCAGAAGAACGAGTTCTCAAACACAGCTAGTCCTACTGGATCTTCATCTTCTAAGTTCTTTGGAAAGCTGTACCTCCCGCTGCCATCCACTTTCACTGTCTCTATGGACTGAAGGATTAGAATCATGTGAGAGCATGGTATCATAAGCAAGGGCTGACGATGGTAATGTCACCTCAGGCACTTGAACCCTGATTAAATATCAATCTGATAGAGATGGATGCATCTTAGGATTCAAGGAGGCGAATGTAAAAGTAAGCATACTGGATAGCTAATAGAACAAAGTGGGATCTGAGATTATTATACAGGAAGTTACTATAAGTTATTATACATCTCCAGATCAAACCCTTTCTCTACATTCTCCAACTACCTAATGAGGTATGGATTCTATCTTTTTTTTTTTTTCAGAGAGAGAAACGAGTGCTCAAAGTGCACCATGATTAGCCAAAATCATACCTAAGAATAATAGGTCTGATAACATGCCTCATGCCTGTACCTTAAGAATTATATCATGCTGGTCTTTTATTTTGGCATTTCCAAAAATAGGATACCATGGCCTACGATACAAAGGCATAAAACCTGAGTATAAATACCTAAGTCAGCATATGCTTTCAAGGAGTAATCAGTGATCTTAAAATGTTTTGTACCCTCAGTACAACATAGAATATGATCTACACTACTAGAAAACCTCAACACTGTTAAACTGCAGACTGATTAAGATAATGACATCAAGTCTCCCAATCTAGGTGTATGCAGTATGCTCTTCCCAAAGATGCTATGTAGTTATCTCTTAATATTCTGTTTTCATGGACAGAAGGTACTTCCCAGTATCGATGCAAGACTTGAGGGAATGCTACACTTACCTATAGGATCGTAACAAACTTCTACCCAAAGAGTTTACCTTTTCCTCTGGGCCCCTGCATGGTACCTGCTTATATCCACTTATCCAGTAGAGCCTGCCAGTCACGTGGTCCAGTGTTAGTCCTAAAGGCTGCTGGGTGGTTACCACCTCAAGCATCTTCCTGTCAGAGCCATCCATCCCTGCAGTTTCAATTGTCCTTCTGCCCTCCTCACCTCCATTTACCCAATACAGATACCTGCAGATAGCATAGGCTCAAGGTCAAAGGCCCCTCTGTACACATGCGCACATTACTCTCCACCACCCTTTCCCTTTAACGTTCTCATATGGGCCTCAAATCACTGCACTGCTAATGATGCTGTAGATTCCTGTTCCAACACTTTGCACTTTGAAAAATTTGGCTCCATAAAATTCAATTTGGGATTCAAAATAAAGAATATGGGGGAACAAACGAAATCCAGATTGAAATAGGCTGACACGCTGTCTTTATTTAAATGAATCTGATGCTTGAAAAATAAAAGGGATGGAAAGAAGGAGAAAAAAAGTGAAATGTGTACCAATTCCCTACAGTGAATGTAATCATTATGTACTGCAAACATATACTAATAAAAGTAAATATATATATATATATATATATATATATATATATATATATATATTCCAAAAGAAATATAACTTACTTCTTTGCAGGAAACACTACTAACTGCTCTGGCACAACATTCTTTTCCAAGATTTTGATGTAGCCTCTCCCATCACTTAAGCCAGCACAGATGGTCCTTGCAATTCTGCTAGCCCAGTATAACTGTCCCGTGGACCAGTCCAAAGAGATACTATTCACTGTTGTAAGTTCTGGGGACACAGGAGACTACGTCAAGTTTCTGCATTGTCTACACCTATCTCACCTTGAGAACAAAGACTTCTATTTTTCTACATCTTTTGATGTCAAGCTAAATAGTGAGACAAATAGGACCCAAGAAATAAGGCCATAGATGTGCTATGCTGTCTCCAATGTTCAGAGGCTGCAGGGGAAAAGGAGGGCTTGGAAAGAGGGGTAACCAAGGGACCCATGCGTATGTGACCTTACTTTAGGCAATGGTTATTGCAAGTCTCAGGGAAATTTTGATAAACTCCTTCCCTAAATTGCTACCAGAGCATTTTTATATTCCCGGCACCATGTAGCCCCTTCTTCATGCGCACTCTCTTGTTTAACCCCCCACACTTACCCCATGAGACAAATAATAGCACCTTCCTCTTATAGAAGACAGGTCAAAGGGTTCAGAATGTGACTGAGGTCACACATCTTGTGCTAGGCCTGAGATGGATGGTTGCCAGAGGCTCCACCCCAAGATTTTCCATACTGCTTAATACTAGCAATTTCACATTCCAAATTATGTCTCTCATGCTCCTGCAGAGCCAAATGAACAGTCCTATCTCAAACTGGGCTTTAATCTCTTATGCTTCATGACAAGTAAGTCACAGGAAGTGGTCCAGATAAATCCATATGCTTCCTATGCTATGTTGAAGTTGTGCTGCAATTTGGATATGGGATGTCCCCCAAAGGCACCTGTCACAGGCAAAGTTAACACAAGTAGCTTTAAAAACTACAGCTTTTTGTGCCTACAAAATATACCTGGATAGAGGAGAACAGAGTTTGGCTTCCCAGAGACAAATACATTTAGGGTCTTATCCACCCAGAAGTACATGCTTCTTTCCAGGTCATACGCCACAGAACTGGGTCTTGTTCGTATGGGTATCAGACTCTCATAGATGCCTGTTCTTTGATCCAGGACACCAAGAGCCTGATCTGCTGCTATAAGAATTTTAACATCACCATCTGCAATAAAAAGAAAAGACTGACATATTGCTTGGAAGCTTTCCTTCACACATTTCCCTTGAACTAAAGGTACTGTTTCATCTCCCATGCCCAAATCTACTTATCCTTAATGTCTGGACTAAGTGTTCTTGGAGAAGATCTAGTTGACCACCTTAGTTCTCTCTCTTTCCTCTGAACTCCAATACAATGACTTAATCTTTGAAAATTAACAGGCATGCCTTTCCATGCCTGATATACAGTGGCCAAAACTGAGTGAGTGTTCCAGGGGTTAAAAAAAAAAAAGCACAAACCAAGTTAGGACTGTATTGGTTTAGGTCTCTAGAAAAACTAGTTCTGTACCCTGCAGAGCAACTAATTTTTTTTTAAAGAAACAATACTGCTGAGTCAGATCGGGCAATGAATGCTATTAACAGCAGCTTCTTTACGTAAGAACAGAGTCATCTCTAGTACTAGACTTTAAAATGAATCATCTATGTCACTTTTCTCTATAATTGCTACTAAGCGTAGAACAGGAGCTAGGCTCTGCTTTATGTACAGAAACCCACCTGTAACGCCACATTTGCTGCCATTGTGAAGCTTGTAGCCTTGCACACAGTCACAGGAGTAAGAGCCAGGTGTATTATGACAGAGTTGGTCACAAGGGCCATACGCCATGGAGCACTCATCTACATCTGATGACAGAGAACTGTGAGTTAGAGACAATCCAGGAACAGTCCTTTCTGTATTTTTGTCTTTTTCAGACATTTTTCCAATGTTATCTCAATAAATATTCCTTGGAAATCATTGCACCAGATGCTGGAATGGGCCATACTGGCCGCCATAGATTTTCCATTCACATAAATGTAACCTAGCAGAAATTTCAGTATAAGGACCCCAGATGTTTAGCTGGTATGGAACACTGATCCATGATATCCTAGCAGCATTCCTGGGATGTGTCACTTGCCTACCATCCAGGGTCTATTTCAGAGTTCTCCGCTGACATTGTGGAAATATAGCAAAGGCTTAAGCCCCAAGCTCTAACTGCCACAATTGAGATAAAGTGCAATCTTTTCTCAGAGTCTCATGGCTGGGACCTGGTGTGTCACAAAACTAAGAGAAACTGATTAAATGACCAATTGAGCAGGAAGGAATATGGTTTATTGGTTGCATTGCTAAGGAAACACCTTTCCTCCAAATCCACAGGGCCTTAAACTGAAATAATGCTTTTCCATCTGTTATGGTTGATACACTGTGTCAACTTGAGGAATCCAGAGGCTTGGCTAAGTGATTCAGCAGTTCTACATCCTGGGGTAAAAGGACATGCCTGGGATGTTGTTCACTGTGTCAATTTGAGAAGTTTAGAAAGCTAACTGACTGAGCAGGGGGTCAGGGTCCTTACTTTGTATTCATAATGAGCCTGTGCAAGAGGAGAACAAGGAGATTATGCGAGTGCTACACGCCCCCTGGGTGGGGGTAGCCTGCTTACAGTCTAAGGGAGGAAAAGAGGCTTGTTTCCCTCTCCCCCGGATTTGTGCTCTTGCAGCTCTTGTTGTCTTCTGCCACCTTGAAGTGTTGCCCTTGTGAGATGCCACTCTGCCTTGGAGCCAGCTGATTATGGACTGAAACCTCCACAAACAGTGAGGTTAATAAACTTTGTCTTCCTTAATTTTGGGCATTAGGTACTTTGTCTCAGCAATGAGAAAAAAGTAACCAAGACACCGTCCCAGGAGAAGAATAATCAATATCTGGTTACAATCAAGCTCAGTGGCTAGACAAGTCCTGCAATGGGTCAGAAACCTAAGGACACTGCAGGACTCTGACCTGGAAAATGTACCAGATCCAGACTGTTCTAAGGGTCATGACCATGTACTGACTTCATACTTCTAATGAAGAATTAATATATATAATAAACTAAATTATTGATTTTATTTAATTAGTAAAATTATTATTAAAACAATTAAAATCATAAAACTTAAATATAAAAACAGAACAATTATTGATGAATTCTTAGTGTAAAAATCCTATAGAACATAATTTCACAGTACCTAATAAATCAATATATTTTTTTCTTATATCTTTTTTGAGTAGGGAAGATTACAGTGCTACTGAGTAGAAATTCTTAACAAGGCTCAGGGTAACCTACATTTTAAGCCAGGGCCTACCCTTCTAGTCACATTTTAACCCCAAATAGAATCCTGTATTTTTTGTAGGTAAGTGTTACAGTGTAACAGCCATAACTTTTTCAAATTATTACTCCAAAGCAAAGATATGTGAAATTTAGTTTAGTCATTCTGGCAGCTTAATCTCATTTTACAAATGGGAGAAATGAGATTTGGAGGATCAGGTAACTTGAAGAAGGTCAGGCAGTAGGAGCAAACAAGGATAACTATACAATGAGCTCTAATGTTAGAATAAGTCCTGATGCCCTGCTAGGGACCTTAGGTATAACAGTGAAGACACAGGTGTATTTATTCCATGACAGAAACCCTTTAAGTTCCATAATGGGAAGATGCTAAACTTCACCTTTTCCCATTAGGCAATAGCTGACCTAGAATTCTCACAAAATAGGATCATAAAAGCATTAGCAAAAATATGGAGAAACTAGAACCCTGGCAGAAATAATAAACAGTAATTTTTTGCTTGTTCCTCAAAAAGTTAAATATAGAATTACTATATGATCCAGCAGTTCCACTTCTGAAATAAACGCAAGATTGAAGGGAGGGATTCAAACAGATATCTGCATACCAATATTCATAGCAGTATTACTCACAATAGCTAAAAGTCCATTCTATCACAGATAACACAGGTAAACAAAATGCGGTATATACATGCAATAGAATTATTCAGCCTTAAAAGGAAAAAAGTAAAGAGTGAGGAGAAGAAGGATTGAAGGGAAGGGAGGAGAATGGTTGCAAGACATTATAAGTATACTGAAGGCCAATGAACGGCACACTTAACATGGCTAAACTGGTAAAACTTACATTACATATATGTTACCACAATAAAAATGTTTTTAAAAGGCAAGTGCAATGCGTTCTGACCTGCACAGCTCCTCCCATCAGGCTGCAGCTGCCACCCTGACCCACAGGAGCACTGGGCACCCCAGGTGGTGTCTCTGCACAGCCCCTCACAACCTGCATTTACCACAGAGCAATTTTTGCCTGTAGAGACAGAGAAGCTGTCAAAAGGGCTGAACACAGCGGAGATACATCATTTTAAAAGCAAATGTGTACCAAGTCCCTTCTATACCTATCCCAGGAACATAACTACTTATGGACAACCTCTGACCTACCACTCAGGCCTAGGAATGTGGAGCTGTGGGGAGGCCTAGGGAAGAGAGAAATTAAGGAATCCTGGGGGTGGGAAAGCCACATTTCTTCCCAGGGAAAGAGTCTGGACAATTTCAACTGCTGGTTATGAGTCCTAATGAATTGTCTATATAGGACCAGAAACCTACATATACTTCATCTTATTTTTATGCTTTTTGCGTGTCTTATTTGCTTTCCTTTAGTACAACAATTCTTTGAAAGTCTTTAACAGTACTAAAGAGCTTTCATCATACACATTTAAGATCAGAGTTTGGGAAGAAGTTAGGAAAGAGATGACAAATTGACGTGGGGAAGGATCTCACTTTCCCTTTTCCCCACCAGAACCAGCAGTGAATCTGGTAGTGAGAACAAGAAGGATCAGGAAGTCAAAGATGTTGCTCCCTCCTTGCCACAAAAAAATTCCTTCTGGAGACTTTCTCTGTTACATCTTTAGAGTATTCTGTATTTTACCTTAAATAAATGATTCGCTTCTCAGTCAGTAAGGCAATTGCCAAATGATTACCTTGGCTTCTATCAGCTTTGTAGCTTTCTTTGTACTCAATTTGCAAAGTTATAAATTTGAACTTGTTGAATGTATATAAAAAATTGTTTGCACTGTGGTCTGCAAGAGTTCCTATAGCAGAAGCTCTGAGTCAGTCTGATTTGAGTAGCACTGTTATAGATGGTTAAGCTTAAATGGAAGATATGGATCTTCTCTTGACAATGATAAATACATATCCCTGGGTTTATACCAAAATTGCAGAAGCAGTACAGTTTGAAATGTTTAGCAAGGGTGTCTCTCTAATACTACAAAATGAGATTAGCCTTCCAGGTTTACATGTTTTTTAACTATTTTTTCACACTCAAAAGACCAAAACCAAGGTGTAGAAATTATAAAATATAAGGAGACTATCTTTGAAAGATAATTGTTAATATGCAAACTGTAATCCAAGCATCCTCTCAAAGAATAGAACCCTCTGATAACTAAGGCATTAAATTGCTTCAACTTCCTTTCCCACCTCCCACCTTAAACGAAGCTATTGGTTTCTTACCACATGTGGTGGGTTCATCGGTACCATCTGCACAGTCTGCCTCCCCATCACACATCGAAGATTCTCGAACACACTTCCCTTCATCACATCTAACTGTGCCTTCTGGACAGAGAGCTGTGTAGGAAGATAAGCGTTCTTTTCATTAATGCTTGTGTGGTAGAGCAGAAATAGACAACATTTTGAGTGGGTAAAGTGGTAATATTTCTAAAACCCATCGCAATTTAAAGCAGGAAAGTTATTTGTTTCAAACAGAATCTTTTAGAGAATTAGCACTTGTGATTGGATCACGAAAACATCAAGACACCTGGGCACTAAACTGAAACAGTATTAAAAGTGAGTAGTCTAGTATTAAATAATTGTAGTTGAAGTAATATTACAGTCACCATTTGACCTTGAAAAGTATTCACTTAAGAAAATGATATCCACCTTATTGTAAAAATGTAGCCCTAAATTCATTAGATATTGCAGAGTTAACTGTACAAAAGATGAAATGGGGTTATAGTTTACCAAGAAGGCAGAGGAATCACTAAATTGTGTGTATATAATCAAGAAGAGAAATGTAACACTAGCCAAGTTCTTTGGAAGGGAGGTTCTCCCTTAAGGAGGAATTGTCCCCTTCCATATTCACTACACACAGGTGGGCATCATCTGTCAGTAGGTTTCCTTCACAGGCTTGTGTTTGGTGTTCTACAGATTGCCATAATTAAACAGTGAGAACATTCTAGGTAATGCTCAGAGTATCCACTGCAGGAGTTTCTATCCAAGCACTGCTTTGCATTTTCATGGATAACTCCATGTGGGATACTGCTATGAAACATCCTATTTTTAAATATAGGATGGCAGTCTCTGTTGTAGGAATTGAAATGATCTTGCATAAAGCAGCCCCCGTAGTCCAAACCGCCCTTAAAGCATGAGTAGGGAAGCCAGACTCACCACAGCCTTCCTCATCCGAGGAGTCACCACAGTGGTTGATACCATCACACTTCCAGCTGTCCATGACACACAGCTTGTTCTGGCACTGCCACTGCCCAGCTAGACAGTGGCTCTGGGGACAATGTGCATTGCTGAACGCGTCTTCACAGTCCTGATAGACATCACAGAGTTCCCAAGCATCCAGGCACCGAGATGTCCCTGGACACTGGACCTTTTGGTCTGGACATGCTGTCATTCCCTCTGAAAGGCAGGAGTTGGCATGGTGAGACAGAACTGCTGCACTACAGATCTGCTTCTCCACATAGTATTTATGGTTTCCTCATAGGCTGTTTATAGAAAACCGAGAACTAAAGGGAGACTAACCATTGGAGACTAAATTTTTACCACAAAGTCAATAAAGCCAATAATCACTTTTACTTGAGGTTTAGTATTTTGAAAAATTAGTGAAGTGGGTTATAAAGCCTCTTACAACACTAGATAATATCAGTGCAATACCCAGGTTTGGCACACATGGCATAAAGTCTCTTAATGACTTGCTTGTTTCACTTAATACTGTTGATGCTAATACACGCTAATACAGAGAGAAGGTGGTGAGATATTAAGCGTAAGTTATACATACCACAGTTAACCTCATCGGAGCCATCTAAGCAGTCACTGGCGCCATCACAAAGCCAGCTGATGGCAATACATGTCCCATCGTCACACTGCCAGGCTTGCAAGTGTCCCCCACACGGTTCCTCTGTAGGCCAGTGGCAGAGTTCAATAAGAAGCAGGCAGGAAGATGAGTTTCTTAGCTTTTCAATTTGGGTTGCATATTATGTATTTTAAATAGCAAAGAAATAATGACTTCCCAATCTGCCACCTGAGTCCACCCTGAACTTGCTCGACTTTTAAAAGCTTCTGCTGGCAGTGTTGCACAGTACCTGGACCTTACCAAGGCACAGGCACTCAGGAGCCCAATGAAGCTTATCTTCCTCACTGCTATCCTAGAACACCATCGCCCAGTAAATCTTTCTATGACAACCAAAACATTTCACCTTGTTCTACCTAAAGTCAAGCTACTAGTCACATATGACTATTGAGCACTTTAAATGATAGAATTTCATTTTATATAAATTTTATTTGAATTTAAAGTATTTTGTCAATAAAAGTAAGTCCCCACAAGTGGCTAGTGGCCACTGCATTGGCCAGGGTAATTTTAGAGGTTCACTTTTTTGAATTCTTGTGATGTCTCAGGCTATATTAACATCTAAAACAGCCTGGGAACTGTTAGTTTTTGTTTCAGATCAATCATCAAGTATTTCCACTTGAGAAAAGCAAAAATGTTTGGAAAGCTAGCATGCAATTTACATGGGGTATAACAAGGTATTTTTACAAGTACAAATGTTTATTCCAGTCTATAATACTACATGCTTGGGTTTTGTTTTGTTTTGTTTTAGTGTTTGGGATTGCACCAAGGTCTCATGCATACTAAACGTGTGCTCTACCATTGATATACATCTCCATCCCCTACCATGTTTCAATATTAAATATTTCAGGTTAAAGTAGTCACAGTAAATGACCACTAAAGAATATGCATGTGGAGTACAGAAAAGGAATGTAGCATTCACTAAGTACCTGTGGCTTTTTCTTCCTTTCATGAGGATTTTTTTATCCCTTCCATACTCATGATACAAGGATGTGAGTCATCTATTAAGAAGCTTTCTGCATATATTTGTGCTCAGGTGGCCTTTCAGGGACTTTGAGCACTCTGAACACAGAAAACTTGAGCTTGAGTTCAGCAAGACATTTGCTAAATCGCTGACTTAGCTTTCACTGGATTTGTAATTTCCTTTATGTTCAATTTGCAGAGTGATTTTTTGGTTGTATAAAATTTCTAAGTAGAAAGTTGATCTTGTCAAGTGTATAGAAAAGAAACTGTAGACACCAGGGCCAATAAAAGTAAGCCCTCAGGGCCTACAGGGGTTCTCTATAAAGGAAACTTTAATTAGGTTTGAGTAACAGCCCTCTTAGTACTAAATTGAAGGTAAGGACTTCATTATAACAATAATGCTACCAACATCTGTAGGCACATCTCGTGTTTACCAACAGAGCCTGCAATAACCCAGAACACTCACCATGTTTGAATAGACCTTAGAAGATTAAAAGCCATAAGAATGGATGCTGATAAAGGAATACGGACTGAGGACCCCTTATCTAAAGGCTTGGGACCAGAAGTGTTTCATATTTCATATTTTAAAAAATTTTGAAATATTTGCATGTACATGATATCTTGGAGAGGGAACCCAAATCTAAACCCAAATTTGTGTATGTTTCAGTACACCTTAGATACATAGCCTGAAGGTAATCTTATGCAGCATTTTTAGTGCATCTGCATTTTGACTGTGACCCATCACATGAAGTAAAGTGAAAAATTTTCCACTCGTTGTATGCCATGTTGGCACTCAGAAACTTTTGGATTTTGGAGCATTTTGGATTTTCAGACTAGGGATGCTCCACCCATAACTGCAATCAGGGCTGGATTCATCGTACAGTCTTGCAATGTGCTTACCACACTGCTCGTCGGTCCCATCAGGGCACTCTTGCTCACCGTCGCAGAGCCAGGCCACAGGGATGCATCTGTCCCCACACGCAGCTTGCTGCGTCACGTTGCACTCTCTTCCACCTGCATGGGATGATGAAAAACCAGGGCTTGGGAGTTCCTGGCTTTGGGGGGACAGATAGCACCTTTGCAGAGTAAAAAGCAAAGGTCACTTTGACAGACCTTCCTTCAGCTAACTCCTAGGGGGATTTAGTATCACCAAAATCATGTGGACTCACTAGTGACATTCCTTGGTAACCAGTTTTTTCCTGATGTCACAGAGTTGTTGCTGGGGATGCGTTGTACCTCTCCTTGTTTCCCTGTCACAGTGGAGGTACATTCACATTGTTGCTGCAGAAGACACTGGTTCCTTACTTCTTCCAATTTTGTTCAGTCTCAAACACTCTTGAGTATGAACACTTACAAATTCAGAAGTTAACAGCGATTTCTGTGAAATAAAAACCTTATAGTGCATGCCCATCCACCTTATTCACAAGACCTGGAACCATGTATCTTCTTGGTCTTCCCCAAAGTCAAAATGACCATGAAAGGTTAGTGTTTTGAATGGATTCAGGACTTCAAAACAGCCATGACAGTGCAACTAAAAGTGAAAGAGGACTTCTGGAAGTGCTTCAGAAAATGGCAACAGCAAGGGATAGGTGTGTTTGAGACAAGCATATCTGAAGCACAAGGGGGAATGTTTTGAGAGGAATTAACTAAAATGTGTCTTTAGCTGTAGTAATTTTAAATTTATATATTCACCATATTTTGTAATTACAGCTCATAAATGAGCACAAAGCTGCCTGACACTGTACCTGCTCACAAAGCATGAAATAAATGTTCACAAGGCATGAACTCTTTTTGCCACCTCTACTAGCAGATCCTGCTCCAAGGTTCCCAATTAGGGTTGCAGCCAGCCTTCAAAGACTCTCACCATTACGTGAGCCACAACTTCAACCACATTTTGCCCTGGTGATTTTCAGTTGGGGGACCACACATGCATATGGATTCTACATATTACCTGCAGGCTCATTTCAAATTTCAAGTTTAGATAAGTGCTTGCTGTAAATATATAAGAAATGCATTTATGTGTTTACACCTCCTCCAAAACAGTTAACAGTACCATGACAAAGAAAGAAAAAAGTCCTCAAAAGTTTAAGATGACTTCAAACATTTTTCTGTTCAGGAGGTCAGGAACACCCGTCCCGGGGAGTAATAATCATGGAGATGTTTCACAGACGTTAGGCCCATCCTATGTCTGGCCAAATCACCAGCTACAGACTTCACCCTTTGAGAATCTCAGGCCTCAGCCGTCCCCGGACCCGCTCTCGGCAAACCCTGCGTGGGTATCTGCTGGTACCCAGGTGGCATCAGTAAGTGTGAGGGCTTCCTAGCTGCACTTCAGGTCCCTGCCCTTTTATTTTGGTCTGTTTTGGGGGTGAGCCACCACTTCCTTCTAGGTTTTGGCCCTCCACGAGGCTATATGGCTGGCTATATAATCTGGGCGGAGGGCAAGAAAGAGATCAGGGTTTGAAAAGGAATCTTAGCGGGTCTGAACTTGGAGAAAGAAGAGCCCAGAAGGGAGGGAGAGGTGAGCCTGGCCGGGGTATGGAGGTGGATAGGGCTCCCTTCCCACCTCCCAGGCGGTGCAGTTTAGGAAAGACATCGACTTCTTTCTCTGAACCCGTTTCCCCTCCACCCTCCCGCAAGTCTAGAAAGCGCGGTGAGACCCTTCTAGGGCGGCCCCCCTAAGGATGCTCATCTTCGCCCTCTTGCAACCCGGGTACCCAGCCACCGCGCAGCGCGGGGCACAACCCTGGGGAGAGCGCCCAAGCTCCTCCACGCCTGCCCCACAGCCTCTGCGCCAGCGAGCAATTGAGCCACAGCAGATACTGAAAAAGTTCGCTACAAATCCCGCGACCCCCGCCGCCACACCCTGCAGGGAAAAGCACGGTCTCTTCCTCGAGCGCGCCCACTTACCAGCCCCGGGGCCGCCGGCGCTGCCCCACTGGACCAGCATCAGCGGCAGGAGGAGAAGGAGCGCGCGGCGGAGCATGGCTGGGGAGGGACAGAGCGCCGGGTCGCTCTCTCGCTCGCTGGGGAAAGCGCCTGAGGGAGGAGCCGAGAACGCGGTGCGCCTGGGGCGGGGGCTGGAGACAGCACAGTGCGGGAGTGGGAAGGACCCGGGTGCGAATCGCTGTCGGGGACTCCGGGGTGACCTGCCCGGGAAGGACGTGGGCCCGCCAGGGGAAATCGCGGGGCTCTCTCGTCTGCCTCTCCGCGGTGAGGAGTGGCCGGGACTCTGTGTCCCCACCCCTGCAATGGGACAGCGGACAAGCAGCACTCTGCTTACCAGTCAGGGCCTGGCTCTGCCTGACTTAGGAGAAGCAAGGGGTGATCAGTGATGCTTACATTCACACAAACCAACTGGGATTCTGCTTTCGCGTGTCTGGAGCAGGACCCAAAGTCTATGCCCCCTGCACTCCTGGCTGAGGCCGCTGTGGCTTGTCCTCTGGCCTCACACTGAAAAGCAAGGGCCGAACAGCCCCAAACCTGGGGGCTGTTCTCTTTGAGGACTGACTGTCTGCCTCCCGTCTGCTCCGCACCAAGGCAAAATCAAGCCTTCCCTAACCTTCCCTAACCTACTAGATGCTTAGTAGTGTTCAGAAACACAACCTGGGGTTAGGCACAGCTCTGGGGACTTCAGTCCTCTTAGGATGGTGATTAACCAACAACAAAAGCCCTGAAGAATGTCACTCTCCTTTTAGGCAACTGGACACAGACCAGGAGATGAGTTTGAGCCATGTCAACTACAGTCAGATACAATCCCCGTGAGGTTTTAGACTTACAGAACTGGAAGAACTCAGAGGTCCCCCCACTCAGGCACCACTATTTAGGACTGAGATAATGGAGATGAGTCTGTGATAGATTTTCTCATGGGCACAGCACGCTCTGTCTCTCTCAGCTAAGCTGTGACATTCCTCCCTTGCCAGGAGAGGTGAATGTCAGTTTCTCGGAAAGAATGTGATGAGTTAGAATTGATTATGTTGAAATGGCAATGAGTATTTAAAGTTTTTAGGGGTGAAACACAGCAAAGAAACACTAGAAAAAATAGAAACAGAAAAATGGACTGCAAAATACTTTCTCAGATTTTATTTGCAACGCTATAGTCCAAGAGATTTCTTTTAAAAATGATACTTCATCAGGTACACTATGGTTCCATCAAACTGCACTTGAAATCATCAGAATGCTCTATACTCTGAAGTTTTCTCTAAATTTATTTTATGTGCTGATTGCACAAGCCAATTTAAAAGACCTGTCTGATTCTCCTCAGGTATTATTAACTTCTGCTGAAATGTCAATTCTTTGGAACCAGATTATTTCAGATGTTTAGTAGTGTTCAGTAACACAGCAAAGCTACCTACTGTTATACTAGTGGATTAGCTCCCCTCATAGGAAGGCATCAAGCCTGGTAGGGTAAGTAGTGAGGCTTGGGAGTCTCATAGACTTTGGTTTAAATTTCAGCTAAATGAGATGATATAGTGTCATAGTTTGGGCTGCTATAACAAATTGCCATTAACAGAATGGCATAACCGGCAGACATCTTTTGTCGCAGTTCTGGAAGCCAGGAAGTCCAAGATTAAGATTCTGGCAGGTACAGTATCTGGTGGGACTCCACTTCTAATTTGCAGATAGCTTTCTTTTCACTGTGTCCTCTGGTAGTGGTGGAGGGAGAAGATCTTCTGTCTAAAAGGGCCCTGATCTCTAACTTAATTACTGCACAAAATCCCCACCTTCTAATACTGTCCCATTGGGGCTAGATTTTCAACAGGTGAATTCTGCAAGGCCAAAACATGCAGTCCATACATATGTACATTTACATGATAACTTTATTACTGTTATAAACAGCACTGGCTCTTAATAGTATACCAGTAGAGGAAGCCACAGATATTGGTGATACAAATAAGTAATTTAAATGACATTCATATTTGTCTTTAAATTATTGTATTCTTGGACCTCATTCTTTTTAATCATGTGTATTGTCTTTTCTTCCATCTTTCCCCACACTTGACATTCTAACTTTTAAATCTACTTTGTGAGCCAAAATACTTTCCTATTCAGTAAAAAAATCCACACCCTAATATCCAGAACCTAAGAATGTTACCTTACAGGACAGAAAGCACTTCGTGGATGTGTTAAAATTAAGGATAGGAATGGGCACAACAATAGGGATGGAAAACGGTGTGGAGATTTCTCAAAAAGCTAGGATTAGAGGTTCCATTTGGACCCAACTATTCCCCTCTGGGTATCTTCCCAGAAGAACTAAAAGCATGGTAATACAGCGATATATTTGCACCCATATTTATAGGAGCACAATTTGTGACAGCCAAGTCTTGGAAACAACTCAAATGCTCATCAACCAAGGAATGAATAAAAAAGACATGCTATTTTTATACAGTGGTGTACTACTCAGCCACAAAGAAAAACTTGAGACTTTTATAGGTAAATGGATACAACTTGAGAACATACTCATAAGTGAAAGAAACCAGACTCACATGTGTAAACATCATATTGTCTCCTTGGTGTGAGAAACTGAAAGAGTAAATAAGGTCTAAAATGTAAAATAGATATTGTGAAATAGGAAGAAATTGTTTAAAAGGAAAAAAGAACTAGGAGGGGGGAAAGGGGAAAGGAAGGAAAGGAAAAGGAAGAAAAAATACAAGTTAGTTATACTATTAGTGTTTCAGTTCATAGAAAAGGAAGGTTTGTGCTAATATTAATTGGAGAATTTTTTATTACCATATCTTGTCCTTGGAGTAACTACTTTAAAGATAATAATATGCAATGTATTAGCTATTGTTATTCTCCTGTCATCTTGTTATGAAATTTTGTTTTACCTTTTCTCCATAAAATTAAAAAAATGAAGGCCAAGAAGATGAGAGTATCCTAGTTCACCAGAGTAGGAGCAACGCAATTACCAGATCCCTTATGTGGAAAGGGGCAGACGGACAGGCTCGAGAAGGAAAGGTCACAGTGAAAGCAGAGGTCAAAAGGGTGCACTTGTGAGCTGGGCATCATGAGACAAAAAAATGTGAGCAGCTTCTAGAAGTTAGAGAAAAAGAAGCAGCCCAAGCCCGCTAACACCTTATCTTCAGACACATTTCAAATGTTTGACCTCTAGAATTGTAAGATAATGTATTTCTGTGGGTTTAAGTCACTAAGTTAAGTTCATAGAAATTTGTTATAGCAGCAACAAACTATGACAGATCCCCAGTGGACAAAACATATAAGAAAACTTTCATTCTTGTAAATGGGGCTGGCAGGAGAGGGCAATAATAAAGACAGATAATAAACAAAATAAACTAGAATGTTTTATACATTTCTTAGAGCTATAATTTTTGTGAAGAAAATATAATATGTAACAGGTGTAAGAAGTGCTGAGGAGAATTGGTGGGGAGAGCTGCATTTTTAAAAAACCTTGCCACAAGACACCTCACTGAGAAGATGTCATCTATGCAGGAATATAAAGGAGATAGGGGAAAACCCTAACTGCAGCCATGGGGGAATAACGGGATTTGCAAATGCCTACCAGTCATAAGCCATTAGAATTCAGATAAAATATATGAAATAATTATTTTCAGATACTGTACAACAGGCAGTTTGGGACTATGATCTCTGAGAGAAGGGAAATGACTGTCTGATCATTACTCAGGTTTTCTGCCTAGAGACAATTCTCAAGTTGGGATCCGGGGAGAAGAACCTCAAATAGATATTGCAATGTTGCTGAGTTAAAAAGACAGAGATCAGAATTCAGGGACACTGGAGAAGCTAGAATCTGCAGGATACAGTCCCAAGAGAAGAAATCTATGCCAAGAAATCATTTCAGAAATCTGCATAGAGATTCAGACATCTGCACAGGGTGTCTCGTTGGTAGGAGGCTGACCTAGTTATGTATGCATAAGGTGAAACCCACAAAGCAAAGCAAAGACAGGAAGTGGAGAAAGAAAAGCTGTAGGGATGTTGAAAATAATCCCCAAATCTCATACAAAGTTAGAAATCATTTGTGTCCCTTTCAGAATGAGTGAAAAGACTTCAATAAATATAAAACTTTTGGTAGAGATGCCAAAGTTCTATTCCTTATAAATGGGGAAAGATCTATTGCTTATAAGTGGGGAAAAATAGTCCTAGAGTAAATTATACTCCAGTTTT